GCACCAAAGCGACTGAGAAAAACTGTAACAGTACTGACTGCTCAATAGATTTTGACTGGTTGCAGGCTCATATCAACAAAGAACAAGAATTACAGTATCACAGAGACAAAGGACACGTTTGTGAGATGCAGGGTACAGTACTGTAAAAATAGGGGTACAAGGAGGAGGAAGAACAAAAAACAAAATTGCAAAGAGCAAAGCAGAGTAGTAATTTCTGATCAATTTTGAGCTACTATAATATAACATGTTTTCGTTCATCGAAAGACAATGACAGAAAAAATATGACATTTGTTTTGAGATTAAAAATGTACTTCTCCCTGAGAACTGTATGTTTTGAACAATGTGTTTTCTATTTTTCAGTGTATTGTTTACTGACTGCTTGAGAGTGTATATCATTTTGATCACTTTGTTTATGATTTGAGAGCAGTGTTTGATTTTGAACACAGGTAAAACTGTTTTGAGGCCAATGTTTCATTTTACGAGAGGAGTCAGAGCTTTTGTAAATAGTGCTTGAAGATGAGGTTTTGGTGTTTAATGTTTTCAGGAAATGGAGCAAGGTTTCAGAAATTGTGTTTTAGCAATTGAGAAAAACTGTAATATCTTCGGCTGTGAGTGATGAAAATATATTGGCCTCAGCGACAATCATTTGAATAATTCAATGGATATTTTGTGCATAAAGATGATGACTAAAGTGTCTTATTAGGAATTTTCAAATCTGACTTTTCTATATGGCCATGTATGTATTTTATTTTTCCTCACCCCAACCCAATTCCTCAAATCATAGCATCTTATAAAAATAAAAATAAACGTATCACCAAACTCCAAATTAGGTTACATATCATTATCAAGCCTAAAAGAAAAATGTAGAGCCATACCAATGAAGTGCTGTGTAGGTCAGTTCACTGAGCTGAGTTCTCTCAGCAGCTGCTGGAATGAACTCGCTCACAATTCTCTCTGAGAGAGAGAGAGAGAGAGAGAGAGAGAGAGAGAGAGAGGAGAGAGGAGAGAGAGAGAGAGAGAGAGAGGAGAGAGAGAGAGAAGAGAGAGAGAGAGAGAGAGAGAGAGAGAGAGAGAGAGAGAGAGAGAGAGAGAGAGAGAGAGAGAGAGAGAGAGAGAGAGAGAGAGAATATTTTCATCCTCTTTTTAATATTTGTTCAACAGTATTTATACTTTCCTGTAGGCCTACACCTGTTTTGCATACTTACAAGATAACGATAACAATTTGTAAAGCACTTTTCATTCTACAGAATAATCTCAAAGTGCATAACATAAAATAAAATTACAAATATTAACAAAATATACAAAAATGAAAGCAAAAATTGACATATCTATCTGTAGATCTGCAAGGGGCAATCAATGACTGTATACCAATTGTTTTTGGGGGGGGTTCCACAATCGTTGATGACGTGCAGCATGTAGCTTTGCACAAAGTGTCAGTGAGCATTACAGTAATATCACCCTGCTATACTCCCACTCCCTCCTGTGAGAGTGCAATGTTCTGGGACTACCATGCAAATGTGGAATATTTTGGAAATATCTCTAGGGCCTAGGAGGAGGTGCTCTAAATTCTACCAGACCGGACTAGAAGTTCACCTGTTAAATGGGAGGGATCACTTCTCCAATCAGAACATCCTGCAGAGGTAACTGTGAGATAACAGCAGGAGTCAATAGACAGCTCTGAGCAGCATCAGTAAAAAAAAGAGGCTAATCGTTCCAACTCATTGTATTTCATTGTTGTCATTCCTTGTTACTTTGCTCTTTTATCAGACAAGCGATGATAGAACATTTTCAGTAGCAGTTGTTTGCTGACGAAAAGGCTGGTAGAGGTAATTGGGGAAAGCTGAAGAGGTAATTGACGCAATTTCAGTGCAACACTTTTAACATAGGCTCCTATGGGGAAAACAGAGGACAGCTGACACAATGAGACTGTATGTCCTCTGCTGAGAACTGTGTTCAGAGAAATAGAGAGACAGATGGAGACAAGACATTGATATAACATCAGATCTGAGGAGCAATACGACTTAAGCCAAAGGGCTGGCCACCATTTGAACACAATCTGTCCCTACCAATCTGTTCGATAGTCAAACATTTGTCAAGGACTTTTTTCACATTTTGTTACTTTACAGCTTTATTCAAAAATTGGTTAAATTGTTTTTTTCCCTCATCAATCTACACACGATACCCCATAATGACAAAGCAAAAACAGGTTTTTAGAAATTGTAGCACATTTTTTTATACAAAAAAACTGAAATATCACGCTTACATAAGTATTCAGACCCTTTACTCAGTACTTTGTTGAAGCACCTTTAGCAGCGATTACAGCCTCAAGTCTTCTTGGGTATGACGCTACAAGCTTGGTACACCTGTATTTGGGGAGTTTCTCCCATTCTTTTCTGCAGATCCTCTCAAGCTCTGTCAGGTTGGATGGGGAGCGTCGCAGCACAGCTATTTTCAGGTCTCTCCAGAGATGTTAGATCGGGTTCAAGTCCGGGCTCTGGCTGGGCCGCTCAAGGACATTCAGAGACTTGTCCCGAAGCCACTCCTGCGTTGTCTTGGCTGTGTGCTTAGGGTCGTTGTCCTGTTGGAAGGTGAACCTTCACCCCAGTCTGAGGTCCTGAGTGCTCTGGAGCAGGTTTTCATCAAGGATCTCTCTGTACTTTGCTTCATTCATCTTTGTCTCGATCCTGACTAGCCTCCCAGTCGCTGCCCCTGAAAAACATCCCCACAGCATGATGCTGCCACCACCGTGCTTCACCATAGGGATGGTGCCAAGTTTCCTCCAGACGTGACGCTTGGCATTCAGGCCAAAGAGTTCAATCTTGGTTTCATCAGACCAGAGAATCTTGTTTTTCATGGTCTGAGAGTCTTTAAGTGCCTTTTGGTAAACTCCAAGCGGGATGGTCTCCTGAGTGGTGCAGTGGTCTAAGGCACTGCATCGCAGTGCTAACTGTGCCACTAGAGATCCTGGTTTGAATCCAGGCTCTGTCGCAGCCGGCCGCGACCTGGAGACTCATGGGGCGGCGCACAATTGGCCCAGCGTCGTCCAGGGTAGGGGAGGGAATGGCCGGCAGGGATGTAGCTCAGTTGATAGAGCATGGCATTAGCAACACCAGGGTTGTGGGTTCGATTCCCACGGGGGGCCAGTATAAAAAAAGATATATAAAAAAAATATGTATTCACTAACTGTAAGTCGCTCTGGATAAGAGCGTCTGCTAAATATGTAAAATGATGTCATGTGCCTTTTACTGAGGAGTGGCTTCCGTCTGGCCACTCTACAATAAAGGCCTGATTGGTGGAGTGCTGCAGAGATGGTTGTCCTTCTGGAAGGTTCTCCCATCTCCACAGAGGAACTCTAGAGCTCTGTCAGAGTGACCATCGGGTTCTTGGCCACCTCCCTGACCAAGACCCTTCTCCCCCTATTGCTCAGTTTGGTCGGGCGGCCAGCTCTAGGGAGAGTCTTGGTGGTTCCAAACTTCTTCCATTTAAGAATGATGGAGGCCACTGTGTTCTTGGGGACCTTCAATGCTGCAGACATTTTTGGTACCCTTCCCCAGATCTGTGCCTCGACACAATCCTGTCTCTGAGCTTTACGGACAATTCCTTTGACCTCATGGCTTGGATTTTGCTCTGACGTGCACTGTCAACTGTGGGACCTTATATAGACAGGTGTGTGCCTTTCCAAATCATGTCCAATCAATTGAATTTACCACAAGTAAACATCTCAAGGTTGATCAATGGAAACAGGATGCACCTGAGCTCAATTTCGAGTCTCATAGCAAAGGGTCTGAATGCTTATGTAAAAAAAAATCACTTTGTCATTATGGGGTATTTTGTGTAGATTGATGAGCAAAAAAAAAAAAAAAACATTTTTAGAATAAGTCTGTAACGTAACAAAATGTGGGAAAAGTCAAGGGGTCTGAATACTTTCCGAATGCACTGTACTTGCAAAGAAATGGAATAGTAAAATAAAAATGAAAGAATGAAAGAAGTATCTAAATAAAATAAATTGCGGGGAAGGGTTTAGGGTTGCTGTCTCTTGTAATCTCAGTTGTGGGGAAAGAGACGGAGAGGGAGCAGGAGAACCTCAATGACTAGACACCTATCCTCTCACTGAGGGGTTCGAACTCACACATCTCAAATGACAGGATCAGCTGAGAAGGTGAAAAACCAAACCGGCAAGCATCATGCACTGATTTCACACGCGCACTGTGAGGTGGTGGTGCCTTCTCTTTCAAGTATCAAGGCTTTGAGCATCCTGCCATATCTTCACATTAAAACGGAGAGTAAAGTTGAACTTTCCATATGAAGCTGCCTTGCAATTCGACAAAGTGGCAATTAGATCAAGCAAAGCGTGAGCCCTTCTATGTTTTGGAGCTGCATGCGCTGAAATTGACTCTTCTCCAGTAGTTATTGCATTATTCATAGGCTTAAATAGGCAATGCTTGCAATATAGTCTCGTGGAAAATGAGCTGGCATGAACATCTGTAAGGGGTGATCAAGAGTGTGACAAACCAAAGCTTTAAGGAAATAACGTTGCCTGCTTTTCTCCAAGACATCACAGCAATAGGGACATGGGCTTCTATTTTTAGACACCAATGTTCCAACAATAAATTAACAACTTGTTCCTCAATGTGATCTGATAGTGTGCATTGCACCTGATCTGGAGTAGCGTACATCGCTGGAGAACATGGAAAGCGGTTTACCTTATTCCTTTTCTTCAAGGGTTGCAAAGTGATGAGTGGTTTGCCTTATGCTCTCCTAGAAAGCAACATGGGAGATATATAACTTTTGCACAATGGAATCCAGAACACTATTATCTGCTAATAGAGGTCGCTACTCCTGTGGGACTTTACGTAGTATTTTTGTCTTTGAAATATAATTTCACAGCAATTGTGTCTGTAAATTGCAAGTTGAGGAAAAGTGTGGACAAACAGAACTCCGACTAAATCCTTTCAACAATAATAATTTCATCCTATCGAGACCAAATTTCCTGGGCTCTTATGGGAATTAAACACTCCTCCCGCTGTATGCTGCTCAGTGGGAAAATGGCGGAGTCTGAGAGAACTGAGGTAGGTGTGTAAGCTTCGATTAAATCATAGGCAAAGCTACACAACAATGTGAGTGATGCATAGGCTAGTCGCGAGTGCAATGCGCGGTCGCTGTAAGGTTAGATTCTAATTTCGAGCATGGAAAGCACAACGCGCACAAGTGTAGGCTGGTACCTATGCAATATATTTTCTGGTACTCTTTGGGTCCGCTTTTGTGCAACATAGCCTATGACCTGTAAAATGTATATGCCAAATGGCACACTCTACTCATACAATATTATTCATCTAAGCATACTTCAAACTGTTCGTTGACCATTAGTTGAGTTCCGTAAACTTAATTGATTCGTGTGACACTCTGTTTAATAGTAGCTACCCTAATGATAGCCTACTCGTGTCTGCCACCAATAATTTTTCTGTCTGAGGCTTGTTCATAATCCAGAGAAAGGTCGCACTCGGTCAGTAACAGGTAAAGATTCAGAGAAACGTGATTTAGGGCGCGAAGCCCGCGGTTATAGCTCGTGCGCTGTCCTTGGTCCTGTAGCAACCTCAAACTGGAACGGCAATCTTGGCTTGCTCCCTTGAGTGGGCCACCCCGTGAAACGCATAGCCGTGGTTAGTAGGGGTGCTGAGGGTGCTGCAGCACCCCCTTGATAAATCACAATTAAAAAATAATTTATATACATATAAAACATTCCACCAAATTACTACACTAGGCCTTTATTACTCCTGAATGAAAAATACTCATCAGCAGAACAGGGAGTTTACTTTAGATGCAGTTAACATGAGAATTGTAGCATTTTCTGCTTGAGAGTACAAGTTTGAGGAACAGAAAATAGGTGGAGAAAGAAATATTACTATGGGTACCCATATAGTTTTAATACAAAATACTTCCTTGTGATAATTAAGAATTGCGTAGATTTTTCGTTGTTGCATGTCTCAGTGTTTGTTTTTGCCCATCCTGTCTGTCCATCTGTGAAAGTAATGTTTGTTGCCATGTATCTTTCTGTTTACCCAGTATGTGAATAGAACAGGTTATTCTGTGTGAATGGAGCCAAGGTTTGGAGCTGCCTGTTGCTCAGCCCCCTGTTACCAGACCATCCCCATTACGAGGTAAAACAAGGACAATGACAAAGCTGCACAGTCACAGTGGCTGCCGAGCACAAGACAGAGGAGAAGGACTGACTCTCGTTAACAAGGCCAGATCAATATCACTGACAGCCATGAGAGTGAAATCTAAATCTTAAGATATATGTGCACTGGGGAATAGAACAAGAAATTGATTGAGTTGAATGCTCACATTAGTTTTTCCCCTTTTCCTCTGTCTTGATAATATGTCCGGAAGGGAAGGAAATCCTGGATCCTTTTTCTTCCGCTGAGCTATGGGCTGATCAGACAGGCTTCTGTCTGTGCTCTCCCAGCGGGCATTGCAGGTGACAATTAGAGTTTTACAGGCACAACTTCTGTGTAGAATTCTGTATCTTCTGCTTTTCTCAGACAGACAGACATCCTGTCAATACTGTTAGTGTTGTCTCTAGACAAATACGCTCGGTCAACTCACCTCTGGGGCTCCATGGGAAAGACAATGACAGTTGAAAGAACAAATGAGAGAGGAAAATAGCAAAGAATATAAACTGCTGCAAGATCTGTTATTCCCGCAGATTGTGAGGTGAATGCAAAGAGTGTTGTGCTTTCACAGAATCAGTTCATTGGGTTTTTGAGTTTTATCATCATACAGTATGTCCTTCACCCACTGTTTCTCTGTAGAAGACCTGACTTTTAGATATCTGCCCCCACCCCATGACGTCTTTATTGTGTGTTACCATTCTCTCCAACACTTAGCAACAACAGCAGCCGCAGCCAATCCGCATCATCCAATCTCAGCGCGTGCAGCCCACCTCGCTGCCAAAGCCTGTGCCCTCCATCCACCATGTCCCGAGGCCGCCCCATACGCCCCACGCTGCCTCCCTGCCTAGCTGCCCTGGCCGGGGGAAGATGGCCAAGTTCCTCAACCCTGAGGAGATGACCTCAAGGGACTACTACTTTGACTCCTACGCTCACTTTGGAATCCATGAGGTAGGGCTGCCCAAGGGCTGTATGTATCAAGCCTCTCAAACTCAAAGTAGTAGTGCTGATCTAGGATCAGCATAAGATTAGACAGGGGATGCTTTGTAAATACAGACTCAGTTCTTACCTACTGTGTTCTTACAATGAATCTATGTAAAGTTAGTTCCACTAAAGACCAGCCCATTTTAGACCACTTCACAATACTGCATCTCTTCCCGAGAGATATACTGTGTTCCACCTAGTTCCACTAAAGACCAGCCCACCAGCCCAACACTGCACAGTACTGCATCTCCTCCCCAGAGATGTACAACTGTTCTAGGGTATATGGGAGGAGGGTGTCAGAAGGGTAGAGAGCATATTTCAAGTAAGATCTGTGAGATGGGGTTTGTTCTGTGACATTTTCTGAAGGTACTAGGTCAGATGGGTTTTTATCATTTCTGCTCTGTGAATGTTCCTGACAGATAGAGAGAGAGAATGGTTGAAATGACTTAAGAGGGATATGCAGGAACCCCCCACTGTTTTTCAATGTGGACCAGTGTGTCTAAAATGGAAGGGTGAGATTACAGTGACTGGCGGATTAATATTTAATATACATAGGCTGTCTACGTTCATATTGTCATGGAAATATGAACGTAGCTTAGTGGTTAAGAGCGTTGTGCCAGTAACCGAAAGGTTGCTAGTTCTAATCCCCGAGCCGACTAGGTGAAAAATCTGTCGATGTGCCCTTGAGCAAGGCACCTAACCCTAATTGCTCTTGTAAGTCGCTCTGGATAAGAGTGTCTGCTAAATCACTAAAATAATAATAATAATAATACAGCTTTGATTGAAAAACACCTTGTTTTTCACCTTGATACACTGTTGTAAGTGGTTTTGACATCTCCCACCCTGACACCATTAATTTGTCACTGAACAGGAGATGCTGAAGGACGAAGTGAGGACGCTCACCTACAGGAACTCCATGTACCACAACAAGCACGCCTTTAAGGACAAGATTGTCCTTGACGTGGGCAGCGGGACTGGCATCCTGTCCATGTTTGCAGCCAAGGCGGGAGCCAAACACGTGTACGGGGTACGAGAAGCTGCCTCACTCCCTGCTCCCTGTCTGGCCTCGGACTAGAATGTTATCAGGCAGAACCATCACAACCGACAGCATATGGAAATGCTGTGAAGCCTGACAAGCTGCTTGCACGCCCCAGACAGTGTGCGTGCGTGCGAGTGTGTGTCTGTGTACTTGTATCTTTACATGTGTATACTATGCATATGTACATATATTTGTTTATGAATGAATGAGTTTGTCACGATGCAGACCTGGTTTACCTCAGGTGGTTATTGGCTGTCTGCTTGTCAGGCAGGTTGTCTGGATAAGCTCTCTCTATTTTAGAGCTCTCAGATGCTGAGTTGTGCATTGTGGAGCAGAAGTAATTGCCACTCTAGGCATATCTGAAAATGCATGCTGGATTTGGGCCAGTAGCTTGTTGATAACCCGGTGGTTCTCATTTTGTACATTGGTCTTGGACAGGGCTTTTGTCAGTTTGTGTAACTGTGTGCGTGCGCGCGTGCATGTGTATATTTTTTGTATTTTAAATTGTTCTGGCAATTCTCACAAAGAAACTTCATTGGGAGGAAGGCTGTTTGACATGCTTTTTACATTTGTATCACAAATTATATATATTTTTAATCATGACAATTTTAGGCCCTTTTTAGACCTACAGTATATATGCCTCCTTTAAGATGTTATGATCTGTGAACCGAACATTATACAGACAAATCTTGTGTCAATTATATTCCTTATAATGTGGTCTAACATATGGAGTATGTCTAGATTCTGAAATACACATTTTCACATTAATTGATTAAACATTACAAATATGAAAATGAATATCTCAGAAGTACCCTTTTCATTATAAGACATATTGTTTGGAACAATATGCTCTACAAGTACATCACATTTCCAGAGTGGGCTCTCTGTTATTTCTTAAGTTCTGATCAATTTTATGAGCACCACCAACACAGTGAATGGTAAATGGATTCAATGGATTTGATCTCATGGATGGCCATTCCTTGCAGGGTTTTTTCTTTATAAAAAAGGGGCTTACAGTGCCTTCAGAAAGTACAGTGCCTACAGAAAGTACAGTGCCTTAAGAAAGTATTCACACCCCTTGACTTTTTCCACATTTTATTTTGTTACAGCCTGAATTTAAAATGGATTTAATTGAGATTTTGTGTCACTGACCTACCCCGTAATATCAAAGTGGAATTACATTTTTACAAATGAATTAAAACTGAAAAGCTGAAATGTCTTGAGTCAATAAGTATTCAACCACTTTGTTATGGCAAGCCTAAATAAGTTCAGGAGTAGAAATGTGCATAACAAGTCACATAATACGTTGCATAGACTCACTCTGTGTGCAATAATAGTGTTTAACATGATTTTTGAATGGCTACCTCATCTCTGTACCCCACACATACAATTTTCTGTAAGGTCCCTCAGTCGAGCAGAGAATTTAAACACAGATTCCACCACAAAGACCAAGGAGGTGTAGCTTTGCCTCTCTCATTCCTATTGGTAGATGGGTAAAAAAAAAGAAGCAGACATTGAATATCCGTTTGAGCACGGTGAAGTTATAAATTAGACTTTGGATGGTGTATCAATATACCCAGTCACTACACATACAGGCGTTCCTTCCTAACTCAGTTGCTGGAGAGGAAGGAAGCCGCTCAGGGATTTCACCATGAGGCCAATGGTGACTTTAAAACAGTTACAGAGTTTAATGGCTGTGATAGGAGAAAACTGAGGATGGATCAACAACATTGTAGTTACTCCACAAGACTAACCTAAATGACAGAGTGAAAAGAAGGAAGCCTGTACAGAATAAAAATATGCATCCTGTTTGCAACAAGGCTCTAAAGTAAAACAAAAACATTTACTTTATGTTCTGAAAACAAGCAAATCCAACACACACAACACTGAGTACCACTCTTCATATTTTCAAGCATGGTGGTGGCTGCATCTTGTTATGGGTATGCTTGTCATTGGCAAGGACTAGGGAGTTTTTAGGATAAAAATAAATGGAATAGAGCTAAGCACAGGCAAAATCCTAGAGGAAAACATGGTTCAGTCTGCTTTCCAACAGACACTGGGAGACAAATGCACCTTTCCGCAGTACAATAACAAACCATAAAGCCAAATATGTACTGGAGTTGCTTACCAAGATGACATTGAATGTTCCTGAGTGGCCTAGTTACAGTTTTGACTTAAATTGGCATGAAAATATATGGCAAGACTTGAAAATAGCTGTCCAGCAATGATCAACAACCAATTTGACAGAGTTTTAAGAATATTTTAAAGAATAATGTGCAAATATTGTACAATCCAGGTGTGCAAAGCTCTTAGAGACTTACCCAGAAAGACTCACAGCTGTAATCGCTGCCAAAAGTTATTTTAACATGTATTGACTCAGCGGTGTGAATACTTCTATAAATTAGATATTTCTGTATTTCATTTTCGATTTGCAAAAATTTCTAAAAACGTGTTTTCACTTTGTCATTATGGGTATTGTGTGTAGATGGGTGAGAAAAAACAATATTTAATCCGTTTGAATTCAGGCTGTAACACAACAAATGTGGAATAAATCAAGGGGTATGAATACTTTCTGAAGGCACTGTAGCTAGGTGAGACAACCACATATCAGCGTCAAATATACAGGATACGAACATTCAATTTCAGCTAAAGAATTAATAAATAGCGTTTTGCAAAAACAACATATTTTAATTCACACCTAAAATCTATTAATAAAAAATCAGAGAACAGTGAAGGTACACACACATGAAGGTACCCATAAGCAACCAAACACAAATGTGAAAATTTTGTCGATATAACGTTTTGGAAATAAACTCTTCAAATGTAAAAAGCATGTCAAACATCCTTCCTCCCAATTAAGTTTCTATGTGAGAATTGCCAGAACAATCTGAGATACCAAAAATATTTTCTGCATACGCTGGCGTGGAATCGCCTATGTGCAATTACACTGAGTGTACAAATATTAGGAACAGAAGTAAATGCAACTCTAGACATAGACTGACCAGGTGAACGCTATGATCCCTTATTGATGTCACCTTCACCTTAAATCCACTTCAATCATTGTAGATGAAGGGGAGAAGACAAGTTAAAGGATGTTTAACTCTTGAAACAATTGAGACATGGATTGTGTATGTGTGCCATTCAGAGGGTGATTGGGCAAGACAAAATATTTGAGTGCCTTTGAATGGGGTATGGTAGGAGGTGCCAGGCGCACCGGTTTGAGTGTGTCAAGAACTGCAATGCTGCTGTCAAGAACTGCAACGCTGTGTGTCAAGAATGGTTGCTTTATTATGCTCGCTCTGTGAGCTCTGAGACCATGCCGTTTTCAGATCCATCACTTAGACTCCACCAGAGAGACAAACCTCAGAGGACAGATCTGGGCTCAAGGCCAACTCTGAACTCTCCCATACAGAACATCACCCTGTCAGAGAGATGTAATCACACACAGGGAAAATCCGACAGTAATATTAGAAAATACAGATAAAATACCTTTTGTGCTGAAATACAAAGCAGACATCCCAGTATCAAAGTGGAGGATCATTCTTAAGCAGCGGCAGATGTAACCTTGGCCTCTCTAAATCACTAGTGCTGACGTTACTAAGGTACAGTCGTCATAAGCCACAGCCTATGAGTCTTAACAGGTAAATCACAACCATCTACAGCAGTGATGACATCCATGCTACTGTACAGTAAGTCTCTCACACTGAATAACTTAACCGTCTGTATGCAGATATTTACCTGCCTTTAAGCAAACCTGGTGGAATTTATTCCTTAGAGGTAGGTATGTGACAATGGGAGACTGTCTCCAGGGAGGAGGTGTTGTGTGACTGCCTGTGGGTGACAGATAGAGTGCCTTCTGGCACCATTGGGAGCTGAGAGGCAATGTGAGGGGCATACAGATCTCTGTGGGTGAGAGCGCCCACTCAGGCATGGCAATGAAGGTATATGCTGGATCTGTCCCTGTCTTCGGCAAGGGAGAAATCAGTGCCAATTATTGTGGGCTGATATACCCCACACACACAAATTCGCATGCACACACACACGCACGCACACGTAGGCTGCACATCATCGATGGCCTACTCTCCCCCACATGCCATATTACAGCAGGTCAGGCCTGGGGGAACAGATGTGTGTGGCCAGTGGTGGCAGGCTGGCAGCTGACTGATTACCATGGGCACTGCTACTAATGGGCTGTAGAGGGCCAGCTGTGCCCTAGGTGACAGCTCCAGAACAGCAATGCACGGAGAAGGCAGGCCACAGCTAGGTCCCCTGGCTTTACCAAGGGCTCCAGCATTAGCCAGCTTCCCCATGTCACCCTGTCCTCTCTGTTTTCCAGAGAACAAACGGGTGGTGTAGAGCATGAATCACCTCGTACACCTCAGAGATACTTGCAGAGTTGGGGAGTAACTGATTACATGTCATCGATCACATGTAATCTGGTTACAAAAAAACTTTAATAAATTACACTACCAGCAAAAATATTGTAATCAGATTAAAGATACTTTTGAAAAACAAGCTGATTACTTGGATCACTTTTAAATTCAGAAATGATTATTTCCAAAATATGCATTATTACACCTTTCTGTTTTCTCAACGACATTCAATTCAGCATTGAGAAAAGGCGCAAGTTTAAGTTTGTTCCACCTGAGCGAGTCTGACCACAAGTCAGAGACCACTATGATGACACACCAAATGATGACCACCAATCAGAGACCACTATGACGACACACCAAATGCGTTTGATGGATCCTTTAGGTCTTCTTCTAATGCCTCTAAAGGGGGAAGTAATCAAAAAGTAACTGAAAGTAATCTGATTACGTTACTGAGTTTGGGCCATCCAAAAGTTACGTTACTGATTACAATTTTGGACAGGTAACTAGTAACTGTAACAGATTACATTTAGAAAGTAACCTACCTAACCCTGGATTCACGCCCATAGTGGGAGTTGTGGAGTGCACATGGGAGTAGAAATCTATACCCGCAGAATCCTGACCATTTCTAGGTTCAATATTGATCGGTATGACTGTATCCTTGCTTTATTCATGTGAAGGCTTTCAATTGAATTCTCTAAGGTTGAGTGCCTTTATTGTATAAAAACATATTTATTGTATAAAACCTCTCTATTTTTGTCAGTTCAATAAATCAAGCACATTGAAAGGGCAGATGGCGCAGTTGGGCGCTCATGGTGGGGTTCCGGTCTATGGGCCCCGGGCCCCCTACAATGTGGCCATTGTGAAATCCAGACAGGAAGGCAGAGTACCACTAACACGGGGAGAGCTGTTTTTTATACAGGCAGAGATCAAGCTGTGCAAATGTGGCCTTTTACTTGAGAGTATGTATGTTCATGTGTCAGTGTGCCATGTGAGTGTGTCTGTGTTAAAGGGAGAGAAAAGAGAGATAGAGAAGGTGAGTGGGCCTTCAGGTCCTGCTTCCCATTACCTGAAGTACACAGCTCTGACAGCTGAGCACAGGGAGGGACAGACTGTTCTATTCTTTGTTTCTTTAGCTCTACTAACTACCATCTCAGACCCCATCTGGTTGGACATAGTTAGAGAGTGGCATAGTCCACCATTATCATCCAAACATTATCCACATCTGATGCACAGTAGTATCTTAAGCCTTTAACAGTCCCGTAATGAGTTGAAGCATTTTTTGCCTTGGTGATTTTACATTTTAGTCATTTAGCAGACGCTCTTATCCAAAACAACTTACAGTAGTGAGAGCATACATTTTTCATACTGGCCCCCCGTGGGAATCAAACCCACAACCCTGGCGTTGCAAGTGCCATGCTCTACCAACTGAGCTACAGGAGGTATTAGTGTCAAAATGTTTTAAGTGATTTTTGTTTTGCTTTTTTCACAGATTGAATGTTCCAGTATATCGGAGTACTCTGAGAAAATCATCAAGTCTAACCACCTGGACAGTGGTAAGAGCTGAAGGTCTTTCTTATTCACTGTGCCTATTCACTATTCTCCTCAGAGATGCAGTACAACAGGGATGTGTGGTGGAGTGTGACTGTCATTGTCTGAAAAGGGAGGATTCACCAAGAATGTGGAAAGTTGTCCTTCTGTGTGCAATAGGTTAATTTAAAACATAATATGAAAGTAACCTCTATTCTCACTTATCTGTAGTACAGTAATATTTTATAGAGGAACAACAACACATTAATGCAAAATGGTCACTCAGCTAACAGCTAAGCTGTGATTTAAGCCCTAACAAAATAATAACAGCATAAACAATGTGGCACCAGCAAAATCGATCTTTCCAAATCTCTGCCTATAAAATATGGATGGGGTAATTGAGTGGACCAGCTCATTTGGAACCTCCAGTTTGTTTTCGAAAGCTTTTGGCAAGCCAAGGACAGAGTGCAAATACTTCCTTTCTTGGAGAAACTGTATTCAATAACTTCCAGTAGAAGGAGAACAAGCGATTGTCGCCAACTCATCTCAGCCAGAGTGAGTTTCCACTCGTTTTCTTTAACCTCCAGCTGAGCTGATTTACATGAGAACACTAAGGGCTGGCTGTGTGGCTCTGCATAGGGATAGCTGGCACTGGGATACCATAATGTGGTATATTATGCTCACCACTGAGTGCTCACCACTGAAAGTGTGTCCGAGATCTTTTGTCAGTGTTTGTATGTGACAAAATGGCGTCACGGCCCAATAATAGAGTGACAAAGACATGATCAGTCTATAATTTTAATGGTAGGACTAGTTGAACAGTGAGAGACAGAATAACAACAAAAAAATCCAGAAAAACGCATGTCAAAAATGTTAAACATGCAAAACATGACTTAATACTTGGTGGCAAAACCCTTGTTGGCAATCACAGAGGTCAGACGTTTCTTGTAGTTGGCCACCAGGTTTGCACACATCTCAGGAGGGATTTTGTTCCACTCCTCTTTGCAGATCTTCTCCAAGTCATTAAGGTTTCGAGGCTGACGTTTGGCAACTAGAACCTTCAGCTCCCTCCACAGATTTTCTACGGGATTAAGGTCTGGAGACTGGCAGGCCACTCCAGGACCTTAATGTGCTTCTTCTTGAGCCACTCCTTTGTTGCCTTGGCCGTGTGTTTTGGGTCATTGTCATGCTGGAATACCCATCCATGACCCATTTTCAATGACCTGGCTGAGGGAAGGAGGTTCTCACCCAAGATTTGACGGTACATGGCCCCATCCATCGTCCCTTTGATGCGGTGAAGTTGTCCTGTCCCCTTAGCAGAAAAACACCCCCAAAGCATAATGTTTCCACCTCCATGTTTGACGGTGGGGATGGTGTTCCTGGGGTCATAGGCAGCATTCCTCCTCCTCCAAACACGGTGAGTTGAGTTGATGCCAAAGAGCTCGATTTTGGTCTCATCTGACCACAACACTTTCACCCAGTTCTCCTCTGAATCATTCAGATGTTCATTGGCAAACTTCAGACGGCCTTGTATATGTGCTTTCTTGAGCAGGGGGACCTTGCGGGCGCTGCAGGATTTCAGTCCTTCACGGCGTAGTGTGTTACCAATTGTTTTCTTGGTGACTATGGTCCCAGCTGCCTTCAGATCATTGAGAAGATCCTCCTGTGTAGTTCTGGGCTGATTCCTCACCGTTCTCATGATCATTGCAACTCCACGAGGTGAGATCTTGCATGGAGCCCCAGGCCTGAGGGTGATTGACAAGTCTTTTGTGTTTCTTCCATTTGCGAATAATCACACCAACTGTTGTCACCTTCTCACCAAGCTGCTTGGCGGTGGTCTTGTAGCCCATTCCAGCCTTGTGTAGGTCTACAATCTTGTCCCTGACATCCTTGGAGAGGTCTTTGGTCTTGGCCATGGTGGAGAGTTTGGAATCTGATTGATTGATTGCTTCTGTGGACAGGTGTCTTTTATACAGGTAACAAGCTGAGATTAGGAGCACTCCCTTTAAGAGTGTGCTCCTAATCTCAGCTCGTTACCTGTATAAAAGACACCTGGGAGCCAGAAATCTTTCTGATTGAGAGGGGGTCAAATACTTATTTCCCTCATTAAAATGCAAATCAATTTATAACATTTTTGACATGCGTTTTTCTGGATTTTTTTGTTGTTATTCTGTCTCTCACTGTTCAAATAAACCTACCATTAAAATTATAGACTGATCATTTCTTTGTCAGTGGGCAAACGTACAAAATCAGCAGGGGATCAAATACTTTTTTCCCTCACTGTAACACCTTTGAGTGCGGCAGTATCAGTATCACTTGAAACCCCACCTCTTTAAGGAATACCTGGGATAGGATAAAGTAATCCTTCTACCCCCCCCCCCCCCCCCCCCCCCCCAAAAAAAAAAAAACACAAAAAAAAAACATATTGTAAAGTGTTTATCCCACTGGCTATAAGGTGAATGCACCAATTTGTAAGTCGCTCTGGATAAGAGCATCTGCTAAATGACATAAATGTAAATGTAAATGTATCATTCATTATAATGTGGTGCTTACTGTATGTGTAGACAGAGCGCTGGAAAGGGGACTTAAAATGTGACTTAAAATGTGAAAAAATTTCAAGAAGAGGTAAGTGTTTGCGGTTTTGCTTTAGAGCCCAGTCTTCAGTCATCATTTTAGCTAAAAGTCTGATTTGATCTGAATGATAGAAATAGCTTGTAGTGTAAAGTGAATAGAGTGGTTGAATCTCTGTGCTGTAGCCAGGGTAACCTAGTTTTCCATTATACACTAAACTCCTTGTCATTATTGCATTACACTGTTTTGGTCTTTACCAGACATCAAACATACTGAGAAACTCATGGAATCAAAGCATACCCAAAAGCACTTCAGCCCAGCTTGATCAAAAAGGGGAATCATTAGCTCAACTGAGGGACTTGATAATCCAAAAAAAGCTTTCCTAACCACCTAATCAACAGGTGACTATGCCAGCAGCATACCACTCTGCATTCCACTGCTGGCTTGCCTCTGAAGCTAAGCAGGATCGGTCCTGGTCAGTCCCTGGATGGGAGCCCCGATGCTGCTGGAAGTGGTGTTGTAAATGGTGTTGAAGTGGTGTTGAAATTCCAATCCCAATATCCTAGGGCATTGATGGGGACATCGCCCGTCTTTCGGATGGGATGTTAAACGGGTGTACTGACTCTGTGGTCACAAAAAATCCCATAGAATTTATCGTAAGAGTAGGGGTGTTATCCCCGGTGTCCTGACTAAATTCCCAACCTGGCCCCATTTCCATGGCCACCTAATCATCCCCCTCATTCCTAATTGGCATATATCACACCTCACTTCTCTAGCTGATGTGTAGAGCATTCTGTTGCAAATTGGTTGCCACCCAAGTGGGTGTTATACATTGGTGGTGGATGAGGTGAGCTTCTCCCTTAATATGTAAAGCGCTTTAGGTGTCTAGAAAAGCGCTATAGAAGTCCAATTAATTATGGCAGAGAAAAGAAAAGGAGCACTCAGTGTCTGCATAGATCTTTGTGTATTCATGATACAAACAGACAGACTTGCATTTCAGTAAGAGGCCTTCATGAGAGAACGATAGAGTAATTGCTTTGAACAGCGCTAACAAGCTTGTATTTGTCTTTGTGTCATTTGTAAGGTCAAGCACACTTACTGTGCTGCTGATCTCGGGTAAACGTGTGAAAAAAGCCAGATGGTTCTTTTGTTGTTTGTCAACTGCTGCGATATGTTTTGGACAGTGCGCAAGAGTCGTTTGTCTCTGTGTAAAAGTGAGTTGGGGTATATAACTTAGGGGTAGAGGGTAAGGGTCAGAGGGTATGGTTAGAAGGTTTGGGGAAAAGGGTTAGAGCAGCGTTTCCTAAACTCAGTCCTCTGGACCCCATGGGGTGCACGTTTTGTTTTTTGCCCTAACACTACACAGCTTTATCAAAGCTTGATGATTAGTTTATTATTTTAATCAGCTGTGTAGTGCTAGGGCAAAAACCAAAACGTGCACCCCTTGGGGTCCTGAGGACAGAGTTTGGGAAACCCTGGGTTAGAGTTATGGTTGGGATTAGGGTTTAGGGCAGGGTTGGGGTCAATTCCTTTTCAATTCAGTCAATTCAGGAAGTAAACTGAAATTCCAATATCAATTCCAATTTTCCTCATTGCCAACTATGAGAAAAAAATCAGAATTGGAATTTCAGTTTACTTCCTACATTGAAATGGAATTGACCCCTACCCTGGGTTAGGGTTAGAGGTTTAGGGTTAAGGTTTATTGTTAAGGTTTAGGGTTAAGGGTTAGGGTTTAGAAGCGACCGGTATAGCTCCCCCTGCAGGAGCAGTTCCCATGGGTGTTCCTGCAGGCCCAAACCATGGGGGACCGGTGGGAAGAGGGCCTTGTTGAAGATGGGCACATGACCATGGGCACAATGATCTGAAACAAACACAGAAATTACATTGGGGTTAATAATAGGGTCACAAGTAAAGCATGTGAGTTACTAGTCAGTATTAGGGTTTGAGTTAGGGCTGGAGACCATGGGCGTTTAATTGAATAATCGACCTATGACTTACCCAGATCATACTGATCAGATCATACAATACACAGTATAAGCACGAATAGAAGGGAGTGATGTACAAAAAGTACTAAAAATCATGGAATCTTCAGCTAACAGTTAACATCTAGAACATTTTAACCTGCTTTTTGGAAAATGATGTTTGGGATAAGTTGAGAGACTTGGTGTATAAATTGCCTGATGACTCAAACTGAATTATTTCGCTGCTCTATGTTCGCTACATACTTAATTGTGAGACTACCATCATTGAAGTCGTTTGTGGTGACCTCAAAATGAGGGGTGTTGTACAAAACAAAGTCATCAGCACTGGATAATTTCTAACCAATCAGAGTATCAAAGCCAATGACACATTTTCTAAACACCGCTTTACCCAAGTGTGTTCTGGATCTGGCCCAAACCATCGGTTTTTGGGACCAATCAGAACGGTTAGAATGTGTTTGCATTCTAGAAGTTGTCGGGAGGTACTCAGATCCAGACTCATTGTGGACAAGAAACGAACGTCCGTGGGCGTGGTGTAGTGTTTGGCCCGGAGCAAGGAGTTTGGGTAGCCAGGCATGTGTATAAATGCTACACCATTATAATAAAATGTACCTCCTTCCACAATTTAAGCAGTGATTTTTCTGCCTTCTCCCCTTCTCTCAGGAGAGTCTTTAGAGACAAAAACAATGATTGATGATCAGGGTGGTTAAAGAGCACTGATTAAATCAAAAGGGCTTTTTGACAATGAAATGGTGCATTTGCAGGGTATTTAGAAAGTGCATGGTACAACAGAAACTGTTTCTGTAACTAAGTGTGTATGTTGACTATGTTGGCTGCCATATGCTGATAAAGTATGTGCTGCTCTACGCCAAGAACCTAGATGTGTAGGCTTAGTATTACTTTTTTTGTGCTATGTGATAAATGGCACAGAAGTGTCATGACACCAAAAAAGTGTCAGTCAATCAGTCATTCATATAGATGATTTGTTGTGCAGTTTCCCTTACCTTGACCTCAAGCTCCAGCTGGGCTTTTCTGGCCTTGGCCTTCTCCTCCTTCCTGGCTTCCTCCTGGGCCATCTCCCTGCCCTTACAAATGTTGAAGAGCGCAGTTTCGGCCTCCTCCCCTTCTCTCAGGAGAGCCTTTAGAGACAAACACAATTAATGATGTGGTTACAGGACACTGATTAAATCAAAATGGCTTTTGACCTCGAGTACGTTTATATGCACACTAATCATTTGATATTAAACTGATTATGGCAGTAGGCCATAGTATGGCATTAGTCATGTAAACACCTTATTTTGCTTATCTTAATCGGCATAAGGTCATAATCGAAGTAAGCATATGCCAATTAAAACACCTGAGCTGTGTTCGAATACTCATACTAACATACTATATAATACATACTTAATGAGTAATAAATAATAATAATATGCCATTTAGCAGACGCTTTTATCCAAAGCGACTTACAGTCATGTGTGCATACATTTTTACGTATGGGTGGTCCCGGGGATCGAACCCACTACCCTGGCGTTACAAGTGCCATGCTCTACCAATTGAGCTACAGAGGACCACATATATACTACATACTATATACTATTAGTTCATTTTAGTATACTGTAAATGAATGGTATCCTTTCAGTTGAGTGTACTAGTGCTTCGCATGTCTACCGGAAGTTGATGCTGTTGCTATGCAACTTCTTGCTAGCTTGTTAGCATAACAAATTACTACCTAGACATCTTACGACTTCATTAACAAAGTAAATTGAGAACGCACAACGACTATACCATTTAGCTAAGCTAAGAATGACGTGAATAATCAAGTCAATAAATGAATCCAGGCTCTGTCGCAGCCGGCCGCGACCGGGAGACTCATGGACGGCGCACAATTGGCACAGCGTCGTCCAGGGTAGGGGAGGGAATGGCCGGCAGGGATGTAGCTCAGTTGATAGAGCATGGCGTTTGCAACGCCAGGGTTGTGGGTTCGATTCCCACGGGGGGCCAGTATAAAAAAATTAATAAAAAATATGTATTCACTAACTGTAAGTCGCTCTGGATAAGAGCGTCTGCTAAATGACGTAAATGTATACTTTGAAATTTGGCTAATTTAGTATGACATCCGGGAACTTTTGGCATACTAACTATATCCACACTATACTACATACTCAATTTACATCACAAATATTATGGTTAGTGCGGTTGGTATTGTATTCAAACACAGCTCTGGTTTTCTGAGCAATCTTTCAAATTATTAGGACATGTACATGCCTTAATCAGAGTTACAGTGGTGTTTTTGATCTGTGCATGTGCTAGCATGAGCAGCGCAAACTTCTTTATTTTTGTCACGATCGTCGGTAAGAGATGAGGACCAAGGCGCAGCGTTGCAGACGAACATACTCTTTATTTATGATACACGATCAAAAAACAACAAAACGATAACGTGACAGTCAATGGCCAAACACAAACCAACACCAACAAGATCCCACAACCACTGTGGGCAAACAGCCTGTTTAAATGTGGTTCCCAATCAGAGACAACCAGCCACAGCTGACACTCGTTGCCTCTGATTGAGAACCACACTGGCCAACATAGAAATGGAATACATAGATCTACACACCCTGGCTCAACATAACAGTGTCCCCAGAGCCAGGGCGTGACAATTTTGCGCGAGTGAAGTGAGTTCTGAAAAACTGAAAGTATGAATCTTAGAAATACTGTACAAACTTTATATGTCTCAGAATCAAATAGGCTTCACAAAAATAACATGATCGCTGTGGTAGAAAGTTGATGTTAATTGCCGATTTTCTGCATTTATGAAAGTCCCAACAAGTAGCCTGATTTCAGATGTGTCATGTAAACATGATTATTAGGGAAATTGTTATTTTTGCAAAGCATGTAAACGCTTGAATCAAACTATTATATTAATCTGACTATTCACAATAATCGTATTATTGTGTGCATTTAACCATACCCACTAAAACCTATGCATTTACTGGGTATTTAGAAGTGCATGGTGTAAGATGTAAGATCTTAATTTGAGCCAGTTTGCTACAGCAGGAAAAGGATGTGAATTATTATGTGGATTATAATTAATGGATATTTCTGTAGGGTTTGAAAAAACTTTTGTTAGGGAAAATCATGTCTGAAATTTCAAAGTGGCCATTTCAAAACTCAAATACACTACAAATTCTCAGCAACAACAGAGTGATCAAATTAAGATCCTACATCTGTACAACAGAAAGTGGGTAATAGCTAGGTTTCCATCCAATTGTCGACAGATTTCCAATGCGAATATTCAAAAATCTGCATAAAGAAAAGATGCGCATTTTCCCACCAGTAGTGTATTTCCTCCAAACTGACTTGTTGCGGATAAAAATCAGTGCGTTATGTTTTCATGTACCGAATAAAAATCTAAAGTTCAATGTGTTTCCATCACATTTTCAACTCTACCGATAGTTTTGTCACAACTGTTGTGTTAAATAGCAAATGTGCCTACTCTGGTCTTGGCAGGTGCACTCAACAGCTCGCAGATACAAAGTGGGTATGTGCTGGTAGGCTACTCTACATGATGATATTATTATGGATAACAGTAAGAATATTTGTGTTTGTTAAACTGCAGTCAAGCATCAAGCATATTGGAAAGGAGCATCAAGATCACCCTGTGAAGTTCATCATAACTCATCTGTAGCCTAATAAACTGCATGGCTTCCCGAGTCGTAGTGGGAGAGCCACACAACATGTCATCGCGTGACTCTAAGTTTACTTCGATATGATGGTTATTATATTGTGAGAGATTTATTATTTTTATAATTGATGGGATGACTAACTTAGAAAGAATGCATTCTTGACTGGGCTAATGTAGGCTGTGACACCTGGCAAGCTGTGATTGATGTGAAGAGCTGTTTTAGGGGGTAAAGTGAGATAGGGATTTGTGTCTTCAGATGCTGGAATATACTGGTTCTTTGTGATCTGTGAACCTTCCTTGGACGTAGGAATGGTGTCTAAGGGAGCTGGCTCTTCTCACTATGACAGGTTGTTATGATATGGACATATGCCTGGTAACAGAGATGCATCAACGGATTGGCTGAGTAAAGTTTAAACCACACTCAGTCCTTTACTCTGATTGGCCAACAGAGAGGTGGGAAACTCTCTCTGTCAGAGTATTTGAGCAACAATCTGAAACAATGGATTTAGTTCTCTGGGGTGCCCTGCGAGGTATTTCAGAGAGCCCGTATATACGAAACATCATATTTACCATTGAAGGTTTTTGCATTAATTAAAATAACTAGTATATCTTAGAAGTCGTGTTGACCTCTTTTGTTCCTAATACCAGATTTGAATTGACGCGACTTTGACAATATCAATATTAGCGCATAAAGGAGTTTCCACCAACATTTCTCGCATAATACATTTTACAGACACAAAAAGATCCCACCATGTCGAACAAACAAATGATCTGTCGGCATTTATACAATTGTACTGAAACTTCCTGCTTCCATCACAGCTGTCGTGATTTTTTTAAATACAGTATCACTTTACTCACATAAAAACTGTGGATGGAAACGTGGTTAATGATTAGAATCTTTCTGTATGAATGTATCTTCCCAGCTAGCACATAAGATTCTGAGAACCATATGTTTCTTACATCTTGTTGAGAGCATGTTGTTCTTTGGTTATTTTGCATACAACCTTCCCACAACTTTATGGATTAAAGTAAAATAAAATTGGTAATGTTCTAGGAACGTTCTCCAAATGGTTTTACATTGGGAATGTTCTCAAATTGTTCAGAACACGTTAAGAAAGTAAGTTGAGACCCTGAGTTAGAAGCAGAGCTTAAGTGTTCTGTGCTGTGATGTTAACCTCCTATGTACTCTTCACAGAGACCTAATATGATTTGCTCCATGGTAATGGTGTGTTATGGTATGTCTTGCAGTTATCACCATCTTCAGGGGCAAGGTGGAGGAAGTGGAGCTGCCAGTGGAGAAGGTTGACATCATCATCTCAGAGTGGATGGGCTACTGTCTCTTCTATGAGTCCATGCTTAATACCGTCATCTTTGCACGGGACAAGTGGCTGGTACGCATGTTTGTGTGTGTGTGTCTGTGTGTGTGTGTGTGTGTGTGTGTACATATGTGCGTTCATATGTTTGTTGTTTTTTTTTTCACCTTTATTTAACCAGGTAAACCAGTTGAGAACAAGTTCTCATTTACAACTGCGACCTGGCCAAGATAAAGCAAAGCAGTGCGATAAAAACAACAACACAGAGTTACATATGGGGTAAAACAAAACAAAGTCAAAAATACAACAGAAATACATATATATACAGTGTGTGCAAATGTAGCAAGGTATGGAGGTAAGGCAATAAAATAGGCTATAGTGCAAAATAATTACAATTAGTATTAACACTGGAATGATAGATGTGCAAGAGATGATGTGCAAATAGAGATACTGGGGTACAAATGAGCAAAATAAATAACAATATAGGGATGAGGTAGTTGGGCGGGCTAATTTCAGATGGGCTGTGTACAGGTGTAGTGATCGGTAAGGTGCTCTGACAACTGATGCTTAAAGTTAGTGAGGGAGATAAGTGTCTCCAGCTTCAGAGATTTTTGCAATTTGTTCCAGTCATTGGCAGCAGAGAACTGGAAGGAATTGCGGCCAAAGGAGGTGTTGGCTTTGGGGATGACCAGTGAGATATACCTGCTGGAGCGCAGACTACGGGTGGGTGTTGCTATGGTGACCAATGAGCTAAGATAAGGCGGGGATTTGCCTAGCAGTGATTTATAGATGGCCTGGAGCCAGTGGGTTTGGCGACGAATATGTAGTGAGGACCAGCCAACAAGAGCGTACAGGTCACAGTGGTGGGTATTATATGGGGCTTTGGAGACAAAACGGATGGCACTGTGATAGACTACATCCAATTTGCTGAGTAGAGTGTTGGAGGCTATTTTGTAAATGACATCGCCGAAGTCAAGGATCGGTAGGATAGTCAGTTTTACGAGGGCATGTTTGGCAGCATGAGTGAAGGAGGCTTTGTTGCGAAATAGGAAACCGATTCTAGATTTAACTTTGGATTGGAGATTCTTAATGTGAGTCTGGAAGGAGCGTTTACAGTCTAACCAGACACCTAGATATTTGTAGTTGTCCACATACTCTAGGTCAGACCCGTCGAGAGGAGTGATTCTAGTCGGGTGGGCGGGTGCAAGCAGCGTTCGGTTGAAGAGCATGCATTTAGTTTTACTAGTGTTTAAGAGCAGTTGGAGGCTACTGAAGGAGTGTGCGTGTGTGTGCACATGCACTAACCGGACATGCTAGCAGAACGAACAATGCTCTAACCTCATGGACTTAACCAGGGATGAAAACCATAACCTGGCCCGGTGTTTGGTTCTTCTCACATGCAGCACAGCTGAGAAATGACATGTCTTGTGGGCAGGATTGATTGCAGGGTCTTTTTTCCTCCCCGTATTTTACACAGAAACCCGGCGGACTGATGTTTCCAGACCGTGCTGCGCTGTATGTGGTGGCCATCGAGGACAGGCAGTACAAGGACTTCAAAATCCACTGTGAGTGTGATTGTGTGTGTGTGTTTAGTTGGCCCTGTGCCCTCCCATAAATCCTGCTGCCCCTGACTCGCTCTCTATTCCCAGGGTGGATCTTACCTGGCTTGTGTTTCTGCTTTGCTAATAGACCGTGAATGTAGAACAACCAATTGCAGCACATGCACAAAATACACACACACACACACACTTAAGCACACACACACACAATTGCACAGACACACACACACACAAACACACACACACACACACATTAGTGTTGGTGCATTTGAACTTTTCAAAGGCATAAGTGATGATCGATCTGATATTACAAGTCAACAAGCCTCTCCATCTCTGTGCTAGCCCACACTAATGCTCTCCTGGAGGATTTGGTGGAATTCTTCATTCTTCATCTCAGCACAGAGACCAGAGACCAGAGACCAGAGCCATGGCAGTAGAACAGAGGACAAGAAGCAGAACCAACACACGCACCCACTCCCCATACACACCTCCACAACTAGGGAATTACACACCGTGAACAGTGAGCTCCTTAGGCTTACAGAAACCCAGGCCACATGACTGAGCACTAGTGCTGTTTCTCTCTCTGCCGTGTGCAGAGGGAGGTTTTAGGGAAAGCTTTGAGAAGAGATAGAAAACGATTGGGGCACCTTTTCCATATTGGGCCCAGTCTGGTTCCAACAAACAGATGCTTATACTGTGGATGCCTTTTGAGAAGGGATGGCATGCTGGATCTCTTAGTGCTCTAAAATAATGTTCTGTCGTCATGAGAGAAGGGCTGTATTCATTAGGGCATATCATAGCAAACAGAAGATGGAAATTAGCATTTCTTATCAGTCCATTTTCTTACGTTTGATGCTTAAGGAATACGACCTAGGACTGGGCTACTTCAGTTTTAGGGCCTAAGAATGCACATCAACAGCTGAGGTGCGACCTGCTCATTATTCCCTCCTCCTCCTGTCGTTACACTTAAGTGGTTCCACTTTAATGGGACACAATAGAGATGCTTACAAGCACACTATCTTAAAGATGCACTTCGGGATCTGAAATTATGCAAACGTTTGACAGTGCATCTTTAAGTACTGTAGCCATGCATAATCCATGATCAGTTAACCTGAGGAGAAAATATATTAGGGAAGAGAAGGAGAATCTCTCTGTTTACTGCCATTCACTGCACTGCAGTGATGGTTAGCCGGCAAAGTGCAACAGAGTCTAAGGAAGCTGTCTACCCAACCCTATAGAAGGGCAATGAAATACTGTAAATCAGCCCTAGAGAGGGAGGAATACAATGTCTGTTTCTGAAATGGCCCTCAATTCCCTATTTAGTCCACTACTTTTGACCAGAGTCCTTGGGCCCTGGTCAACTACATAGGGATTAGGGTGCCATATCGGATACACACAATGTATTCCTCCCTCTCTAGGGAAGATTTATTTAATATTCCACCTTTATTCCACAAAGGTGTTCCATAATGTGCTGTGTTTCCACAGGGTGGGAGAACGTGTATGGCTTTGACATGACTTGCATCCGTAACGTGGCCATAAAGGAGCCCCTGGTGGACATGGTGGACCCCAAACAGGTGGTCACCAACTCTTGCCTGATCAAGGTCAGCTATGTCTTTACTTCACGTGTGTGTGTGTGCGTAAGTGTACATGTGTGGGTGTAGGACTGTTTTGCATGTCTGTGTGTGTGACATGCTTCAAGTTGCACCGTCCGCAACCGCAGGGCTCTCCAGAGGGTGGTGCGGTCAGCCCAACGCATCACCGGGGGACACTGCCTGCCCTCCAGGACATCTACAGCATCTGGTGACACATTTTAAATTCAGGCTGTAACACAGCAAAATGTGGGAAAAGTCAAGGAGTGTGAATACTTTCTGAAGGCACTGTATATACTGTATTCTAGTCAAGGCTCATCCTATATAACTACTGCTCTACACACCTTTTCTGTTCATATATTGTCCATACTGTCTATACACACCATCATATATATATATATATATATATATATATATATATATATATATATATATATATATATATATATATTTTTTTTTTTTATATTCTGGACTCTGATTATGTCTCATTCTGATATTTTTGGATTTGTGTGTATTGTTTTGTATTGTTAGGTATTACTGCACTGTTGGAGCTAGAAACATAAGCATTTCGCTGCACCTGCGATAACATCTGCAAATGTTGTGTACGCGACCAATAAAATTTGATTTGATTTGTAAATGTGGGTAGGATTTGGGGAGGCCCAGCAGTGTGAAAGCCCACAGTTGAATCACAAAGCATTGACTCAGCGTTGTCTCTGGGCTCATGCAGTGTGGGATTTACATAACCAGTGTTACTGTTATTATTATAATGGACCACCAGACGATATCTTGATCTGTTAATTAGAATGGGGAACATAGCTGCTAAACTCCAGGTTTTGGACAGCTGTGGTGTGTACTTCGTATCCACATGCCTCAACGTAACTTGGCAATGTTGGAAACACACCGATTATAACCTAATTCGTGGTCACTTTCTGAGTCAAAATGCAGGCTGAGATCTACCCCACAGAAGAAAAGAAAATAACATAAGCCTATGCAACATTAACCTATTAAAACCCATTCTGTATCAATGAGGATTGTGCAGTAGACTATAGGATGAATACATTATTATTGCATATTGGCTATTCTTGAATTGCCCTGCCAATGTTGTTCATCTCACACCATTTAAAAATTATATTTCAAAACATGAGGTACTGGTAATAGATCAGTTATTGTATTACTTCTTGTGAGGCATAAATTGAAATCATTTGCATTTCTTTATTTTACTGGACTGATGGTGTCTGTATCTGATGGTCAGTCTCAGTGGATGGAGAGAGAGAGGGAGATATATTGTGTGTGTGAGAGAGAGAAGCCCCTTAAATTGAAATTGAGAGAGAGCAGCAGATAGGCTGCCTCTCACCGTCCCTCAATTCTTCCTCCCTCCTCTGACTGACCAAAAAGGGGACACCGTCTTCCATTTGATGGCGAAATTCAAGTCAGACTTAATTTCTGACTCATGCACCAATTCATATTGTTACTCGTATGACCAGGGAACGTGAATTACTCCTCGATATTAGAAAGACACAAGCCGCTAATAACAACGCAAGTCTATCGATACACTTTGTAACGCGAGTGGATAGGGGAGAGCGTTTTATATCTTATAAAAGTGTTGAATAAAGTGACAGTGCTTAATAAAATCTTAAACATGAACTCAATCATAAAAACAGCAGATCTCTGCGGTATTCATTGACAGTCTCTCTCTAGTTATGGTTTTTAAAGTTTCGAAATCAAATCTCACACATTAGAGTCGACTACCAACTTCGCTGTGGGCTCATGGAAGCTGCAGACAAAGTGATCTGAGTGATCTGATTGGCCAGCTGTAGGCCTGTTTGCACTTGATTTGTTCTTGTACCTTCAGACATGTACCTTCAGACATGAAATGGTTGGAAATGGGAAAACTTTGATTAACCGGCGCGCAGGGCAGCTGAATCAAGTACAAATAAAAAATTAGGAACGCAAAGCTTTATCGATGGGCTTTTTACAGAAATGCTTGGCGATTGACTAGGAAAGCCACAGAGATCGCGATCGACCGGTTGGTGACCACTGGGTTACAGTAAAGGGACAGTAAACAATCCACATACCAATCACAATTCAGAGGCGTCCTCAGCTGTAAATGGACAATATGTTACCCTAATGTGATCCTTCGATCTGAGCCTTCTGGCCATGCTGATAAAGTCCTTCACTACTAGGTACAGGGATTGTGCCATGCATGATGCCATGCATCTATTCCCATGTCTAGACTGCTGATTGTGCAGTTTGTCGAGGAGCCCTTCTAGTTTATTGATTCTGCTTTTCTCAGTTCAGATGTTAAATAACTAAAGTGTTTCAATTGCTGCTGTCTAAAGCCATTAGACTGTAATAATAGGAAGCAGGGGAAATAATCTTCAAGATTTTGTCCATGCGCCTGTAAGATGAAACCCCTTTGAAAATGACAACCCACTCACAAGCTGTTGCATGTCTCTAATTGGATTACAGGATGAATCATATCATTAATCTTATACACAGACAGTGTGCAAAGGAGCTCAGGCTGTTAAAAATATAAAATGAGTGCCTCATGTTCAAAACTTTACCTTTGCTGTGAGTGAGAGAGAGCCGAATTGACTTGTTGTCCTGCACTATAAAAATATGACTTTCAGGAGTTTGTGGTGCATGACTAAAATAAACAGTTTTTACTCTTATGGAAGCTGGGAGTTGTTTGCGAAAGATAGCAGGGGAGCTTGACTTTGAATTACGCTTTTTTGTTTTTACTGCTGATTGCCCGATACATAAAAGTCATATTTTTCCACTGCAAATATGTGGGCCCACAACAGAGAGACAAAAACAGAGCTGTGGTCCACACCATCTGCTCTCAGCTAGAGAAGAGCAGAGAAAAGGAGAAAGAGAGAGAAGAGAACGAGAAGAGAGAAAGAGAGAGCAGCGTCAGAGCCGAGACTCTAGCATCTTGCCATCTAGCTACTAGTATCTGCTCCCCTGTCTCTCTCTCTCATCCTCTCTCTCCTCTCTCCTCTCTCTCCTCTCTCTCCTCTCTCTCCTCTCTCCCACTGCAGAATCAGTGACATCAGATACCCTGTTAAAATATGGCATATAAAGGAGCAGGACACCACCACAATGCTACCCTGACAACAGTTGCTGCCTTGGTTCTCCAGCCAAATGACCCCATCTTCTCCTCGTTCTCCCCCCTATAGTGGGGTTTCCTTGGCTAGTCCCTCTGGGGGGAGGGGGTAGTGGGGTTTGGTTTCAGATCCGTGAACCTTGAACCCAAAAGGAGAAGTTGGAGCAGAGTAGCAGAAAGCAGAGGCCTCATCCCTGACAGAGAGAATAAGGGGCTCAGGGATAATACAGGACACAATGCTCAGAGGCACCGCCACACAGCTCATATGACACGCATATAAGACCTGCACCTGGACACACTCACACCTCTCAGCTCCTTACAAGACTTAAGACTTGGCCAGCCTCCCATGGCAGGCTGCTTAATGGCCACCCACAGAGGAAGAGTTAGGCCTACAGATGTAGAATCTTAATTTGACCTGTATTGTCGCAGCAAAATAATCCTGCAGCAACATGATTTTAACGTTTAGTCCCTAATGTTGCTTGATCAGTGGTTAGGCTATTAGCTGGTCCAAATGAGGGTACACGAAAAGTGGAATACTGTTAATATAACTGTGTGATTAGTACGGGTTTTAAGTGAATTTATGTCAATCACGAAGCTCATTTGCATTTCCTGTGGCACAGGAAAATTCTCAGCATCAAAAGAGTGATCCTACATCTGTACATGTACATGAAAAATGGTGTGAATAGAACCCCAATCACTATGGATTCTGTATGTGATTAGCATTAACAATGCTAGCTGTAGATGTAACAGAGCAGTGTGGTTATTCTCGCTCTTCAACAGGAGGTGGACATCTACACAGTGAAGACTGAGGACTTATCCTTCACTTCAGCCTTCTGCCTTCAGATCCAGAGGAACGACTACATCCACGCCCTGGTCACCTACTTCAACATTGAGTTCACCAAGTGTCACAAGAAGACTGGCTTCTCCACCGGTACGTCCTCAACTCTCTTTCTCTTCTCAGTCTCGGTCTCTCTCTCTCTCTCCCCCCCCCTCTCTCTCTCTCTCTCTCTCTCTCTCTCTCTCTCTCTCTCTCTCTCTCTCTCTCTCTCTCTCTCTCTCACTCCCTCCCTCACTCACTCACTCACTCACTCACTCACTCACTCTCTCATTGATTTTTCACACAGGCTTATATACTATAGTATACTACGGTATAAATACTATAGTATTCACTGTAGTGTTTTTGCTGATTTTACTGTAGTATTCATTGTAGTATACTGTATTTTTTTTTACAGTTAACTATAGTAGAAATATTATAGTAACATAACTGTAGTATACTGTAGTATTTACTGTAGAGTTCTTGTGGATATTACTGTATTATTTACTATAGTGTTTTTTAAAAATTATCTTTGACATAGAAGTGGAGGCTTTCTCCATGAGGAAACCTACTGGACAAATACTAAAATAGCAAATTGTCCACAACCTGTAGGTAGGTAGGTAGGTAGGTAGTTCTGGTGTCTGAACGGATAGTTCAGCATTCCACTCTTTTGTATAACCTGTATGGAACAAAATATGATCTATACTTGGCATGTAGGTTTCTCACTTATGGGTGGCACAAATTGGGATATGGGGAAGGGTAATGAGCAGGGTACTGTATATGCAAATTAAATACTGAAGTATTTACTATAGTTAACAAACTGTAGTGTTTTTGCGGACTTTTATGTTTTTGCGGACATTACTGTAGTATTTACTACAGTGTTGTTTTGTGGATCATGCGGTAGTATTTACTATAGTATTCTACAACATTCTATAGTAAGTACTATACATGTTCAAGGGATACTACAGTGTGTAGTGTAGTATTCTACAGTATACTACAGTTTACAATAGAATTCTATAGTAAACTGTAGTATTTGTTCATGTGGGAGGCTCATAAGTGCTCTTGTACAGTTCACTGTGTTGTTATCAGACCAACTCCTGACAGACCTAGGGGTTTATCCTTTTAATTGGCGGCAGCCGCAGCAGATTATAGGCTAGGAGAGTCCTGCTGCTCCCTGACAGGTCAGCTAGAGTTCCAGCTCCCTGCCCACCATCCTCCCATCCTCCCTGTGGGTTCAATCCCAATCCGTATTCACAGACAAAGACCCGCCTTTAATGAGCTCTTTGATAGAAAGGCCTAGACTACAACAGCAAACACTGATATGACTGGAAATTAGAAGAGCTTTGAGTCCCCAGTTGATTTGCATGATCCAGAGAACTTGTGTGATGGCAAGAATCGTGTTTGTCAGTAAGCGACCTCTAGTGGTGGTGTGATGTTATCGATCCTCTGTGATTATACATCATGTCTACAGTAGTTCGCCTTCATCAGAGTTTGTGATGCAAATAGGAGACTTTAAACTGTGACTTTCTGTGGCTTGCATTATGCATGCATTATGCAGAGGCAGTGGCAAGATTACCATGTGTTGTCACTTTGAAAAGTGGACAATGTCTTACTTTTGACCTCCAATCATATGCAGCTCTTCCAGCTCCTTTAGTATTGATTTGAGCCTGTCCATCAAACCAAATCACCTTAGCCAACGCTAAACCCTGCTAGGCTCACTGAACCCCTGATACACATCTAAATGCGCACATGGAGGCCTATGTCCTCTATTGCCATTGATTTCCTATATCCTATATCATAGGACAGGTATTTCTAGTTTCAAGTTTCAACGTTTATTCGCCACGTGCACAGGAGATAACAGATGTAAAACAGTACAGTAACATTCTTACCCTGAGAGCTCTTTCCCAACAATGCAGTGATTATAATAATAATGTAGATAATAATAGAAAATATATATTTTTTAAACAACAACACAAGAAGTATGATGTATGAAGAAGCACGAGAATTCAATTATATACAGGTCAGTGCCAGTACCTTATTCAATGTACAGGGGTACTGGAGTGGTTGAGATGGGTTTATACATAAAAAGTGACTGGTAGTAGGATATACTGTACATGTAAACAGGGCTGAAAAGTGACTGGTAGCAGAAATATACTGTATAAATACTTATGGTAATGTACTAATGGTAATATATACAGTACATGGAAAAAGAGCATACAGAGGCACTCGGACATATACTGTATGCTGCTGGAAAATATCACCAATTAAACTACCATAACAAATATAGGCTTATCTATTCTGTTTAGGTTCCCACTGCGTACAGCTTTCATACTGTAATCTGTGTGTGTGTGTGTGTGTTCATGCAGCAGCCATGCTGATCAGCAACTCCTTTTATCCATGAGCCCTCAAACGGCGTGCCTTTAAAGTCTGAGGTACAAAGTTACCCCAAGACAGCCGGCTGAAATTCGATTAAAGTTGTGTTGACCTTTGAGCCTTGGCCAAGCGATAGTTTAACAGTGCAGGCACAGGTGGGCGCACATTGTTGTTTTGGGCGGGGGTATCGGTTATCAGCAGTGTGCAGCTGGAGATAAGCTGAGACACACAAATACAAACACACACATGCATGCGCGCATATTGTTTATATGAAAAAAATAACTACGTCGCTCTAGATAAGAGTGTCTGCTAAATGACTAAAATGTAAAATGTAAATACACACACACATAAACACACATGTACAGTCAGGTCCAAAATTATTGGCACCCTTGATAAAGATGAGCAAAAAATACTGTATAAAATAAATATGACAAATACTTAGCTATATTGTAGGCTCCCCACATCATTTTAAAATGATATTATTTTATAATACAATTGATCAGAGAAAGAGATTTTGTTTAACAAGTTATATTTTATTTTCTCTAAAAGATATTGTTTGTTTGTTTTCAATACATTTCAATACCTCACCTTGCGAGGATAACAGCACTGAGCCTTTTTCTAAAATGTTTTATGAAGAGAACACATTAGAAGGGATCTTAGACCATTCCTCCATACAGAATCTTTCCAGATCCTTGATATCCTTCGTCTGCTCTTATGGACTGCCCTCTTCAATTAAAACCACAGGTTTTCAATGGGGTTCCAGTCCAGAGACTGAGATGGTCATTGCAAAATGATGATTTTGGGGTCAAATAATCATTTCTTTTTGGATTTTGATGTGTGCTTGGGGTCATTTTCTTGGTGGAAGATCCACATGAGCATATACACACGAGCACACATACGCATGCACAAACACACACACACAGTCTTGTACAGCTAACCTTGTGGGGACACACAATTCAGTCCCATTCAAAATCCTGTTTTCCCAAACCCCTAGCCCTAAACCTAACCCTAACCCTAACCTGTACTCTTACCCTCCTAACCCTAACACTAAAACTAACTCTAGCTTCTAACCCTAACTAATTCAAACCTTAACCCCCTAGAAATAGCATTTAGCATCGTGGGGAGTAACAAAATGTTCCCAGTTGGTCAAATTTGTGTTTGTTTACTATTCTTGTGGGGACTTCTGGTCCCCACAAGAATAGTTAAACATGTCCACACACACACACACACACACACACTTCAAGTAGCAGAATGCATGTGGGCGGGGTAATGGGAGAAATGGAGATTGACAAGGACAAACATCAGTAGGGAGGGTCAACCCAATCAGTTCCTCTTATCTATTATATCAACATTTGATATCCTGATTTGAACCAGCATTTTAGCATGACAGATCCTCAGTGCTGTATCTACGTTTGTAAATAGCATTATGATATAGTGAATCACATACATTCACGGTCAGAACCATGGGCAGCACTTTTCAGAACCAAGAGATACAAAACGAGAAGAAAAATACGAATGTTACAAAAGTTGTGTCTTGGTGGCTAATAAGTGCATGAGAGGTCCAATGTCAAAGGTAAAAGGTTACATTTATGTTAGTTTTTGTTGGTGGTCAAAACTTTGGCTCATGATTGTTTTGGTTTTAAGGGTCAGGTGTCATTTCCACTCTAAAAGCCAAATTAACTTCGCACTTCACTTGAGTTTCTGAACAAATCTCCCATTGACAATAACGCATTATTTACGTGAAAATATGAGTTAAGCGCACAGATCTGAAGTTAAGATTTGGCCCTAACTGCATGCCTGTCTTCCTACAGCCCCTGATGCTCCGTTCACACACTGGAAACAGACAGTCTTCTACCTGGAGGACTACCTGACCGTAAGGAGGGGCGAGGAGATCATTGGCAGCATCAACATGAAGCCCAACGAGAAGAACATAGTGAGTGTCTGAAATCTAAGACCAGTAAAAAGTCATTCACTTTGAGATAGAAGTTACACTTTTAGGGGTGGTTTCCTGGACACAGATTAAGTCTAGTCTTGGACTAAAAAGCAAGGTTCAGTGGAGAATCTCCAGTGCTTTGTAGTCCAGGAATAGTGTTAATAGTGTTCGGTAAACTGCCCCATCTAGGGACCAGAGTTTTTCTTAGTCTGGTCAAATTATTAGAAAAAAGGTCCTGGGGCCTCATTTATCAACTGTGCATACATTTCATACTAAATTCTGGCGGACGTGGAGATTCTAGAATTTTCATGTGCAACAAAAAAATTGGGATTTATCAAACTGTCGCATTGATAAATCCGTCCCATACTATATATGAGCATAACAACCCTGCCTGGAAAACGCCCTCAATTTACCTTTTGTGGTAGCAAAAACGTCATAATTTGCTGTATGATTTGGAAATGTTGGAACTGGGCCATCACTGTTTCTAAAAGAAACACAATGGCAAATTTGATGACATTTCTGTAGAGGTGTGGGCAGAATGTTTGAATATTTTGCAGTGACTTTTTCAAACAAAAAAATGCATGCCACCTATAGCAAGTGCCAAGCACTGGCCGCACATTCTGCAAGATTGATTGTCTATTCAAACAATTTTAAAGTAAATGCTACAGCCCACACTTCTATGCAAAAGAAAAATTGTTCTTCAATAATTTGTTTATCAATAGATGATTGTATTTTTATCTCCTGCCGTGGTATAGGCTTTGAGATTAAATAGGCTATGATGTCCCGCTCCTATCGCACAGCAATACTGTAGCCTACCCATACTGTCAAATAGTTTAAATAGGGTACCAGTCTATTTATTTTCAAGCATGCTTGGCTATTGAATGAGCGATGGATGAATGGTAGCCTAATATGTGTTGTGTAGCGAGAATAAACAAGTCATGTCAGAAAAGGAGAGACATGTCCTGCAATATGATTATGATTTAGGCCTATTTAATAACATTTAAAGAAACATAAGCCTACCTACATGCTGCTATGTGATCTCCTTACCAACGGCAAATGCATCTGTTTTGTCATTACGTTTTAATTAGCCTACCATTGTGTGTAAAACACAAATTCCCCCAAAAGAACAATATTTGATTGCAATACAATTTTCCAACCACTAGAAGTTGTGCGTACGCATGGTCTGAGCTGTGCGTGGAGATGCACACTTTCCATGTTCAAAATGTATAAATACCAACCTTTGTGGGAAGACTGGAGCTGCAAGCTTTAGTCTTTTTTGTGCACACACAACTTTTATAAATGAGGACCCTGTCCCCTACCTTCTGTATGATAACTACAGACAATGGCCCAACAGGGATAGGTACAGGTTATACATACAACATCTATACTTGTCTAAAAAAATTAAGTCATAAGGTCAAATAAAGTCATTTCAGGCATGTAAGGCATTTAAACCAACATTATATGGCTAGAAAGAAACTCAATTCCACTACTACCTCTCCACAATAGACTGCTTGTTTGTCCTTCAATCATAATCTTTGTGATAGAGGTCAAAGGAGAGAGAGCACTAATCACTCCCAGACTAAACAGCAGATGAGGATACCAACAGTGTCAGTGCCCTCTCCTGCCAGAGGATTGAAGAGATGGAGTCCTGGAGTTCTCCTCCTTTCCTCATCTGTAGAAATTGCCTGTATGAGAGCTCTCAGTCAAGCCCATGTTCAGGTGATTGGCCTGAAATGAGAAAAGTCTGAACACTCACTTAGATTTTCCTCTCTCTTTTTTCCCCTGGTGAATTCTCTCTCTCTCTCTCTCTCTCTCTCTCTCTCTCTCTCTGTCTCTCTGTCTCTCTCTCTCTCTCTCTCTCTCTCTCTCTCTCTCTCTCTCTCTCTCTCTCTCTCTCTCTCTCTCTCTCTCTCTCTCTCTCTCTCTCTCGCAGCGTGACTTGGACTTCACCTTTGAGCTGGATTTCAAAGGACAGATATGTGAGGCAGCCATCTCCCACGACTACAAGATGCGCTAGATAGGTGTCCAATAGGGAGAAGCCGGTGTGCAGTGCTGCCTGCAGCCCCACAAATACACAGAGGGAAGGAAGAGGCACTCCCATTGAGATAATAAGGAGAGAGGATGGGATGGAGGGAGGAGAGAGAGTGCAATGGAGGGATTAGAGAGGGTGGGATGGAGGGAGGAGAGAAGTTGGAATGGAGGGAGGAGAGGAGATGGAAGGATGAGAGAGAGTGGGATGGAGGGAGGAGATGGAGGGATGAGAGATGGTGGGATGGAGGGAGGAGAGAAGTTGGGATGGAGGGAGGAGATGGAGGGATTAGAGAGGTGGGATGGAGGGAGGAGAGAAGTTGGGATGGAGGGAGGAGATGGAGGGATTAGAGAGGTGGGATGGAGGGAGGAGAGAAGTTGGGATGGAGGGAGGAGATGGAGAGATTAGAGAGGTGGGATGGAGGGTGGAGAGAAATTGGGATGGAGGGAGGGAGGAGATGGAAGGATGAGAGAGGGGTGGGATGGAGGGAGGAGAGAAGTTGGGATGGAGGGAGGAGATGGAGGGATTAGAGAGGGTGGGATGGAGGGAGGAGAGAAATTGGGATGGAGGGGAGGAGAGAAGTTGGGATGGAGGGAGGAGATGGAGGGATCAGAGAGGGTGGGATGGAGGGAGGAGAGGGAAGGATTAGACAGGGTGGGATGGAGGGAGGAGAGAAGTTGGGATGGAGGGAGGGAGGAGATGAAAGGATGAGAGAGGGTGGGATGGAGGGAGGAGATGGAGGGATTAGAGAGGGTGGGATGGAGGGATTAGAGAGGGTGGGATGGAGGGAGGAGAGAAGTTGGGATGGAGGGAGGAGATGGAGGGATTAGAGAGGTGGGATGGAGGGAGGAGAGAAGTTGGGATGGAGGGCGGAGATGGAGGGATTAGAGAGGTGGGATGGGGGGAGGAGAGAAGTTGGGATGGAGGGCGGAGATGGAGGGATTAGAGAGGGTGGGATGCAGGAATCAGAGAGCAGATAGAGAGAATAGATGAAGAAGGGATGAGAGAGGATGGATGGAGAGAAATGGAAGGATAGGCTAGATCAGAGGAGGCAGGTTAGGATAAGAGAAGATCATCAGTGCAGGGGTAGCACTCCAAGCAATATCAACATGCCCACATCGACACCTCTAACCGGCACTTTACTGTTAGGCCAACTGTTCAGAGGACAACTTTGAATGTAACACCTTATGAATTCAAGAATGTTCTATTCATTATGAATGTTATTGATTGATCTATACAGTATGGCAACCAATGTTATCTTGATTTTGTTCTTACAAAATAATCAGGCCATAGGATATAGAGATTATTTTTGCACCGTTTTAAAAAATAGTATTTTTTTTTTTTTTTTTTGGGGGGGGGGGGATATTATTCTACATCCTACAGTCTACAGCCAGTAGTTATGATTTGTCTTCAAATAGGCTTTTAAATTACCCAAATTTGCATGTTTTTAATTAAATATATATAGGAAATTCAGTGCTGCATACGGCAAGGAAAATTCAGTGCTGCATACTGAATGTGTAATGATGTGAAAGATAGTGTGTATTTGCAATCAGGCGACGTACTGTAGCTTTTTAGGTGCATGCAAAATAACAGTATGAGAGCTCACACATTTGTGCAGCTTGCACTCCAAAGTGTGGTCTGTGGTTTCTGTTAGAGCTGTGATGTCGACGTTGTAATCAGTGTAATCTGGGGCCCTTGTCTAGATGCCTGCAAAAGCTCATGGCTACAAAGCCTACATTTCTCCAATCATCCCTAACTATATTCTATAGGGCTGTATTTTTTCATACTATAGATAGTTAATTAGGTAATAACGATTTTATAATAACCATGATCTCTTAAGTTCTGTAAGATGGTTGATGTGGAGACACAATGTGAGGCCCCGCCCACTGAATGCTGCAGCACACGCACCAATTCCTGGGGAAGATCTCAATTGCATAATTATTGTGTCCTCTTGCCTTGTCTCCTTCTCAAAACACATTGGATGAGACAGCCAGAGGTCCCTCCCCTTCTGACCATCTCCTCCACTGGGTTTTGAGACGCAGACGAGGAGAGGACGCGGGATTATGCAATTGAGATCCTCCCCAGGAAGTGGCGAGTGTGCTGCAGCATTCAGTGGGCAAGGCCTCACATTGTTACCATATTTGCACTGGCTCCGCTGATGTCGGGCCTGTCCTCAGAGCCTAGCAGCTCACAGCAGTTAGTCCTGTCCTTAGATCAGTGCTTGAGTTGATGGACTCTCAGACAGCAGCTCCTTCCCTTAACCTGTGCTCTTACTAAATTCATCACCAATGCAACAACTGGAGTTGTTGCATTGTCCAACTTTGACCTCCCCTCACAGTTGTGTAGTACTGTTACCAGAGGTGTCAAACTCATTCCACGGAGGGCCGTGTGTCTGCAGGTTTTTGGTTTCTTTCAATTAAGGACCCAGACAACCAGGTGAGGGGAGTTCCTTACTAATTAGTGACCTTATTTCATCAATCAAGTACAAGGTTGGATCGAAAACCTGCAGACACTCGGCCCTCCGTGGAATGAGTTTGACACGTGCGTTACACCATCCTTCCTTTCCAAATACATTCTATCTGCAGCCAAGATACAGACTCACTCACAGTCCCCTTGCTCTTCCATGCCTTTCTGTGAAGATCATCAGCACAACACTTATGACTGTTCAGAAGATGTAAGACATGCCATGTATGAATAGACCAGTGGCTAGTAATGAGTGGGTGACATTTGACAGATGTACAATCCATTCAGTAAAGGGTCTGACTATGTTCAGTAAGGGCAGGGACAGGTAGTTTCATGTTGAGCGCTTACTTGTGAGCTCATAGATTCTTTTCATAGTTTATAATATTCTATTGCTTGTTTTATTCTATTTTACACGCTGTGCTATACATACAGATACAACCTATACATACCTGCAGATAAACAAGTTGATACTGGATCAAAATAAGACTAACTTAAATAGAATCCAATAAATAGACTATTTACAATAGCATGCATACAACACTTGTCTTTGGAATTAAGTCAGTGATTTAAGCTGACTTACTTTAAGGTTTAGCCTTCAGCAGATCTAACACATGACTAGTGTTATGTCCTGTTAAAACGCTGGGCAGAATCCCACACAGCACTTTACTTAGTCCCCTGTAGCTCAGTTGGTAGAGCATGGCACTTGCAACGCCAGGGTTGTGGGTTCGTTTCCCACGGGGGGCCAGTATGAAAATGTATGCAGTCGCTCTGGATAATGAGTCTGCTAAATGACTAAAATGTAAATGTAGTGTTATTCCGGTTTACCACTCATGGCATTCAGTTGGTTATTTACACCAAGTACTAAAACATGGTTGCCACTATTTCATGTCAGCTACTGAAATTGTGCTATTTATGTTAATTTGGTATGACAATTCTGAATTGAAAAATAGCTTTGTATTGTATTGTTAATTGTACCTCCTGTCATGTAACAGTTCAATAAAATGTAACGCTCAAGACCAACATTGTCCACTAGGTGGCATCTGAAATTCGAGTTTCATAACTGCAACCACTGTGCTACTTCAAGGAAATTGTGTTTTTATTTTTGTTCGATTATTTCATTCACAAGATCACTGAAATAAATATACAATATCTATTTATTATTCAGAGAAACCATACAACATTTTTAATATTTACATTTTCACATACATTATTGTGCAAGAACACAGGCACAGTAGCGTGGGTTCATTTAGAGTAGTCATGGTGCTATGGCACACTGTCAAATACACAAGGAATTCTCTCTATACCGGAGGGCTCCAAATGATGACTTCTCAGTAACCTTCAACATCACAGAAAATACACATACAGTAGGTATCTAATGATACCTCCAGTGTCTCATACGTATCTATCGGTATCTGAGGTACTTTACAGGTGAAGTGATGGTATCCATTGCAATATGTTTTATTTCAAACAGGATTTGTAAAACTAGAACATTTGTTCAAGGATACTTGGTGCTATATCAACTTTTATGGAATTATTAGGATAAATGTTTTAGTGCGCCCACAAACAAATACCTCTAAGAGAAGGCAAATAACTTGGAAAAACTGAGCAAACAACTACAGTACAACAACAGAACTCCTTCATAGAAATAACACTGCGCAAATTACATAAAAAAGCCAAATAGTGGTGACTGTTTATATGCAAACGCTTTGATAAAGGTACAGTATGGTCAGAGCTTTACTACCTTCCATTGTCATTGCAAAGTGTAAAACTAACATTTATGTGTAAAAGGAGAAGCTGCCAGTTAGACTTTCTAGACACATACAGATGTAGGATCTTCACTTGATCACCGTTGTTGCTGAGAATTTTCCTGCGCTCCAGGATTGACATAGATTCACTGAAAACTCACACTAAAATATTATATTAACAGTATTGTACTTTTCATGTAGCCCAATAGCCTAACCATGAATTAGCAACATTACATCGGCAGAAAAGTGTGAATGGTGTAAATGTTCAAATCCTGTTGCTGCAGGATTATTTTGCTGGGACAATCCTGGTCAAATTAAGATCCTACATCTGTAGTTGACTTCTGGTAAATCGTCCCAACATTACATATACAACACAGTAAACCTTATTACAGTTGAGGGATAGGCTCATCTATTAATCAAAATGATCTGAGATAAAGTAGTAACTGAGATAAAGTCCAAATCTGACAAATGTTTTTACCCTTTACTACTGGAAAATGTTAAATTGGTGCGAACGAAATTCAGATTTCACGAAGCCTAACCCAACTATAAACAAGGTTGACTTTTCTTTTTTCAGTACATTTGTCAGATAATGTAAACTGTACTGAATTAAATATAAAAGTAGTCTAGTTATTGGTTTTGCCTTAGCTAGTTGAAAATACATTTTCATTAAAAATAAGTTGTCATTAGGGAAATCTATATTTTATTATAGTAGTGCAAGACTGTATTTTTAAAAATGCCCTTTCATTTTTTTAAAGAGGTGTTTTTAAAAAACCACAGATTCAAGAAACAGGTGTACACACCGCAGGTGGACTGAGTGACAGTGAGAGGTATTGTGCTGTAGATCTTTGAGTTCTTAAGGAACCCTAGTCAGAATATACTGTACATCTAATTAGGTGAGTTCACCATCACCTTGTGTGTTGAGAAGATAGAAGCTAGCTAGTAGCCTTCTTGTTGCTAGCAGCAGGACCTCTTCTTCTGTGAAGAGCTGTTTACCAGTTGGATCGTCTTCTCTTTCTCTCTGTCCTCCTGCTCTTTCAGAACTCTAGGAGACACAGGAGAAGAGATCTTACTCAGAAATTAATCCAAAGTCACATACTGTAGTGTAGGTTAACTGTTTATTATTGAGAGTGAGAACCCAACCTCAGTTACAGTGCAATAGACTTGACTAGAGAAATCTCACACAATATTCGATTCTGATACTATTATTGAAGTTGGGAGCATTTCAAGTGTTAGGATAAAGTTGTCTGACACATTTGGCTTAAAGTGAGTTGTCAGATTTCACTGCAGACCGCATAAAGCCTAGCTTGGACAAAGTCCAAGCAGACAGTTATTACATTTTTGGCCTGACAGTATTAAGCTTGTTTTCCATTCGTATAGCCTTGTTAATTAATGGCCAAAATCGAAATGACAAATAGTCGTGTTAAGACAATAGTAATGTGGAAGAAGTAAGACTTATGTCCTGTTAAAACGCTGGGCAGAATCCCACACAGCACTTTACTTAACTCACCTTGCCAAATGTACCATAGAGTCTACAACCTTTTGTCCGGAACAAGCACTGCACTCATAGAAAATCAACTGGCAGTCCTGCAAAGGAGATTTGATAACTGTCATTCTCAGATGAAAAACAGGAAAGTCAATGGGATGTACAGTACAGTGCTGCGATTGGAACCGGCTGTAGTAGGTCGATCATGCTCTCCTCTCCCACACAGCCTCCCACTCAGGCCTCTTTAGTAACATTAAGGTAAAGTTGTCTGGACTAATGGCCATAGGAGCAAAATGAAAAAGAAGAGCAGCTCTTGACTGATCTAAGGCACTTAGCAATTATCTATCACCATAGAAACTACAAACCCAAAGAAAAAAAAGAGGGATGTCGGAAATCGGAAAAACAACTCCTGGACCATTTTGAGGCCCACTCACACATCGTTAAAACCCCCACATTTTGTTGCTTTTACTTATTCAGTGAGAAGATGGCCCACCACTTTGTGGCTGTGGGCACTGAAGCCTGTGGGTTGAAGACTGGGCCATTAACACAACACCCAGGGAATAGCTGATAGACAGACCTTGGCTAATTTCTCGCCTACTCTCGTCTGAACCTCCCGCTCGCTCTCCTTGTCCGTTTTGTTTCCCAGCAGCATGATGGGAATATCGTCGCCGGCCCCCTCCTGTGAAGAGAGACTGAGATGATGGGCACTGATGCACTCCATTAGGGCTAGAACCTCAGCGGTCCCTTTCATATCCCCAGTGGGTGAGCAGCATTCAGCATCGCAGGTGTTTAACATCAGTGTTACACTGAGCAAGATCACAGACAAATCTATATTCACTACATGTTGTGTACAGATAGTACGTGGCACACAATCCATAACGATAATGGATGGTAACATGTATCGTGCATCTTTACAAATATCCAGTAAGAATAACAATAATTTGCGCATTTGATCTGATAGTGTATATAAATGTTATGTCGGCCTACATTGAATGTGCTATTGAGCAGGAGGAGACCCTCAGTATTACCTACATGTGTAGGCCTGCTATTTCAGAGGTGAGCAGTGAAGTGTTAGGGCTTGTCTTACCTGTACACTGGTCAGCCACTGTCTCACCGCAGTGAAGCTCTGCTCAGCAGTGATGTCATACATGACTACCACACCGTCAGCCTTGCGGAAGAACTGCTTGGTGATGCTGCGATACCTGAAGGAGTGGAGAAGGAAAACTGATCATTCCTCCATTTGTACTTTATCCTCATGTATATAGTTTCATTAAGATACTATTTTCAAGTATCATGTGCAACATGGTCTCATTAGAAAATACTGTCAAGAATACTGACATTTAAGCATTGTAGTAATATGTCCCTTCACTGACATTATCTATGTGCCATAGAGCACAACTGCATGTAGCAAAACAAAAGCTGCTGAGGTAAAAATGTGAACGTGTATAAATTCCCTTAGTAGAGTCATGTTTCCCACCTCTCCTGTCCTGCTGTATCCCACATCTGCAGTGCCACCTGGCTGTTGTCCACTGTTATCGTTTTCACACTGTAGTCTATGCCTGTTGATGCAGGATGGACAAGATATCACTTAAGTCATTTACTATATTTTGCATTCCAATAATATTTTTTCCCTGTAATTTTCTGTCCGTATTCTTTTTAGAAGTGCTGGGTTCGTAGCAAGATAGGAAAAGGTTAAACAATGACGAAAGGAAACAACAATTGATTTCCGGGCTAAATCTGGATAGAACAAGGAACTTCAAAGGATATTTGTCCTTCTGAGTTTCTGAAATGTTACTCATCCATTGATGGTTGCAATCAACTATAGTTGTTCCCAGTGCTCAAATAGAAAAGGAGAAACAACATGTTTTTTGTCAATGACTGCATCACAATTGCATCAACAAGAGTTGAGAGTATATTGCCTATTGTTCTAGAGGGACCATACAATTCAAAATCCATCTGAGTTTCTCCTAAAAATTACTATTTTCAGAATCAAATAATTTTTGTGTTCTTCCAAACAGGGCCTAAATAGAGAGGAGATTAGAGATCTGGAGCTGTTCGTACCAGGCTGCAGAATGACAGGAAAGGAACACTGACTTCACAAGCCGTCTCATGTGATGCTGTGTGGGTTGGGACATGACGTAATTCAGTATGCTCGCAGTCAGTCAAAGAACAAACTAGGTTTGGGTGTGTAACATTAACCTACTGAAGAACAGAAAGGCCAGTATCCAGTCATGGTCAGTATCCAGTCACCTACTGTACAACAGAAAGGCCAGTATCCAGTCATGGTCAGTATCCAGTCACCTACTGTACAACAGAAAGGCCAGTATCCAGTCATTGTCAGTATCCAGTCACCTACTGTACAACAGAAAGGCCAGTATCCAGTCATGGCCAGTATCCAGTCACCTACTGTACAACAGAAAGGCCAGTATCCAGTCATGGTCTGTGTGAATACAAGTCAGTCAATACAACAGCACCACAATATGGTTTATCTGCTTAGGCTGTTGCCTATGTAGTGCAAGATCAACACAACATAGTCGGCTTTCCACAGTGTAAGCAATCAGCATTTAAAAGAGCTTAATGAGTAAAGCCGTTGTGAGAGGGAGGGTGAGGTCAGCCAGCCACAGGTCTGGGGGCTCAGCTCTGCCCTGGGTCATGTTGATTAGGACACACCATATCAAAACAGTTTGCAACATAAAACAAAAACTAGATTCCTATTCAAGTCCAGGTAGTTCCACCCAGTTTCAGTCCGTTGTGTTCCGTTGGTGCCTAATGAAAACCCTAATCTGCTCTAGAAAAGGAACCCTGGAGAGGCCACTCACTACTCACCCACGGTGGCAGAGGTGCCTGGGTAGAAGCAGTCGTCACAGAACCTCCTGAGGAGGGAGGTCTTCCCCACGCTAGAGTTCCCTACCAGCACGATCTTAAACAGGCGGTCCGGGGGTGATGCTGCACCCTCCTGGAAACAACACAGAGAGATGAAGCAGAGGGAAGAGGTCATTCTATAGGTTTCATTACATTTTTCCAAACTCCATTTTGTGCTTCAGTCAACTTTTCCTCAAGTAATTATCAAGATATATGCAAATGTATTCAAAATAAAAAAAAGAAATACTTTATTTACATACGTTTTCAGACCGTTTGCTATGAGACTCAAAATTGAGCTCTGGCGCATCCTGTTCCATTGATCATCCTTGAGATGTTTCTACAACTTAATTGGAGTGGTAAATTCAATTGATTGGACATGATTTGGAAAGGCACACACCTGTCTATATAAGGTCCCACAGGTGACTGTGCATGTCAGAGCAAAAACCAAGCCATGAGGTCGAAGGAATTGTCCGTAGAGCTCCGCGACAGGATTGTGTCGAGGCACAGATCTGGGGAAGGATTCCAAAAAAATGTCTGCAGCATTGAAGGTCCCCAAGAACACTGTGGCCTCCCATCATTCTTAATGGAAGAAGTTTGGAACCACCAAGACTCTTCCTAGAGCTGGCCGCCCGGCCAAACTGAGCAATCGGGGGAGAAGGGCCTTGGTCAGGGAGGTGACCAAGAACCCGGTAGTCACTCTGACAGAGCTCCAGAGTTCCTCTGTGGAGATGGGAGAACCTTCCAGAAGAACAACCATCTCTGCAGCACTCCACCAAATCAGGCCTTTATGGTAGAGTGGCCAGACAGAAGCCACTCCTCAGTAAAAGGCACGATAGCCAGCTTGGAGTTTGCCAAAAGGCACCTAAAGGACTCTGACCATGAGTAGCAAGATTCTCAGGTCTGATGAAACCAAGATTGAACTCTTTGGCCTGAATGCCAAGCGTCACGCCTGGAGGAAACCTGCCACCATCCCTACGGTGAAGCATGGTGGTGGCAGCATCATGCTGTGGGGATGTTTTTCAGCAGCAGGGACTGGGAGACTTGTCATGATCGAGGGAAAGATGAACAGCGCAAAGTACAGAGAGATCCTTGATGAAAACCTGCTCCAGAGCACTCAGGTCCTCAGACTGGGGCGAAGGTTCACCTTCCAGCAGGACAACGTCCCTAAGCACACAGCCAAGACAACGCAGGAGTGGCTTCGGGACAAGTCTGATTGGCCTAACCAGAGCCCGGACTTGAACCCGATCTAACATCTCTGGAGAGACCTGGAAATAGGTGTGCAGCGATGCTCCCCAGCCAACCTGACAGAGCTTGAGAGGATCTGCAGAGAAGAATGGTACCCAAGAAGACTCGAGGCTGTAATCGCTGCCAAAGGTGCTTCAACAAAGTACTGAGTAAAGGATCTAAAAACGTATGTAAATGTAATATTTCAGTTTGTTCCATTTTATTACATTTGCAAAAATCTGTTTTTGCTTTGTCATTATGGGCTATTGTGTATAGATTGATGAGGGGAAAAAAACGATTTAATAAATTTTAGAATAAGGCTGTAATGTAACAAAATGTGTTAAAAGTCAAGGGGTCTGAATACTTTCCGTATGCACTGTAGAGTAAGTTCCTAGATGACAGTAAACCATGGAAACTTCCTGAATCACTCATTCAACACACACAAGTAGCTAAACCTGTTGCCAGGGTAACTGTGGGGTCAAGTCACTCAAAGAGAGAAACCCAACCCCTGTGACTGCTGTTGTCCTATCGCAGGTCTGCTCAGACAGAAAAACAGGGCTTTGTGAACACATTGTGCTGTACATCCACCCCTCTTGCACCCCTCTTTATACGGGGTAAGAACCAACAAAAACACACTGACCTATACACAACCCTGAAGGACTAAAGAGGAAGGCAAGGTTATTTTAAAGGGGAGGTTACTTGGCCAACTGACACCTTCTCATGTTCTATTGATTAGAGACAAAACAAAGTATGTCCACATTAGGACCAATCAACCTTGTATCTCTGAGCATACAAGTCTTACATTCACCACTGTCTCCTTGCCGACAGGCTGGCCCCTGGGGGACGTAGGCATCTCTGTCTCTCTGGTGTCAGCTGGCTGCTGCTCCCTAGTCGGAAGAGAACTAGGAGGATATATTGATTTCATCTGCAGCTCTATGTGCTCTGCCTCCTCCCCTTCTTCCTCCGCCTCCTCGCTCCACTCGCAGAGCTGGGCATGGTAGTCGTCCTGTAGGAGCTGGGGTAGGTGGTCCTCCTCTATGGAGATGATCCTCTGGAGGGGTCTGTGGGGGGGGTTGGAGTCTACCACATAATCCAGGCTGTAGCCATTTACTCCCCCTGGGCTCTTCCTCTTAGAGTGGGGGAGCCCTCCCTCCTCTTCCTCACTGGAGAGACAGGGATGAGCTGGTAATTAGAGGGACACATGTGAATTGGCTCACAATTGCTTTTTTTGGAACATAACGGTATGGCTGTAGAATGTGAATTGACTAAGCATTTGCATTTTCAGAACAATGTAAATACAGTACAGACATGTTCTGCACAGAGCTACAACTGTAGCCCTATTGAACAGCTTTCTGTCCTACATTTGAATTCTGTGTCATGTGCTTTGTTCTACTTTGTGTAATGCCATCTACTTAGAAAATATGAATCATTCACCATTAATAACTACTCAAGCTACAGTCATACTGAAGAAGTGTGTATTGTAGGTGAATTGAACATTTGTATAAATTAAGGCCTCCACAACTGCATGAGACAGTATTCATTCATTTCAGAGCAAACGGTGTACCATTTAAAGGCCTTTTTGTCAAAGGGATTCAGAGTATGTGATCCAGGCCTCGGGTTCCAAGTAGGATTTTCAACAGTATTCCTTGGTTTCTGCAAAACAACAACAAATGTAATCTACAGTTTGATTGCAATTGGATTTGATAGAAAATGTTTTCTAGGTTCCATGCTTTTCAAGGAATCATGTTTTTAGGATAGGATCTATCAAACATATCATACAGACAGACGGGATTTCACAAATGGACAATGAAAGAAATTTCATGTGAATACTTACTTGATAAGAGGACATATCGTGTTCATCTCGTAAGTGTTTGTTCATTTCCCTGGAGACAATATAACAAGGAATGGGTTCATTGCAAAAAATAAAAACACATTTTCTAAGAACTAGTGTGAAACAGCTTCGAGGAGTTTGCCTGAGGTCAATACTATGCTATCTGCTCGATGGATGCGTGGTCTTGGTTTGTAGTGAATATAACATTGTACACTATTGTACAGTATGTTAATTTCTCCTTGATTTGGAGAACAGTGGCCCTGAACTGATATAACCCACTGCCTCTCTCCTAGTGTGTGTCTGTCTCCTCTCCTCTCCTACCTCAGGAGGTCAAGTTGTTTCAGCAGGCTTGCTCGCTCTCTCTGCAATCCCTCTGTGACCTGGTACATTTCCCTGTGTTGGAAAACAAATCCACATAATCATGTACTGTGGACTCACAAGGAGACCCAAACAGTCAGCTAGCCAACCAGTCGGATACAAACAGGCAGACTTACATCTCCCTCTCCTTGTGCAGGCGTGAGGACTGTTCCTGCAGAAGGCCCAGCTGCTCCTGTGCCAGGGTCAGCTCCTGACTGGTGTGCTCCAGCTCCTGGGCCAGATCCTCATTCGTCTGCTTCAGCTTCACGTTCTCCACCTTGGTCACGTGCTGCTCGCTGTGCAGCTCCCGGCACTGACATTCCAACTGGGGAGGGGACACAGGGGAGAGGGGCCACAGTCACAGAGGAGACACACAAAACAACACTACAGCCAAAAGCAGACACCCTACAATATACACTTTCATTTCATTTATCTGATCATATGCAGCTTGAAAAACACAATTTCCCAGACACTTCTATGCAGTAACAATCATAGTCTGGAGTCTAGACACTATGATTGCTAAGGATGATCAATGTGTGTTTGCTATGATACACCAAGCATTGATGAACAGAAATCTTCTAAACTTGCATAACACATACTGGCCTGGTCTGACCCACACACATCCATTAAAGCCAGGGGTTGTGTGAGGACACACAGATAAGGATGTTGTTTGACTGTAGCCTCAAACGCTACTATCACTGTTCTAAATATATAAGCCCAAGTGCTACAACAGCGGATCCAAAACAACAAGATACTTTATCTAGCGACACTGCAATGAGGCTAGCCAGCATAGCGTCTGGATGCCTGCTTTACAGCATAGAAATAGAATCTCTAGAACGGACATTCCCATTCAAGTCAATGTTCTTCCATTCTATTTCCATGGTTGGCAGAGAGGAACATGGAATGTGAATTACAGACATAATAATTAGAGGTGCCAGGGAGCTCTGAGAGAAGGCCTTGGTGACTTGGGTACAGTAGGAACTAAGGCCTTGTTCCCCTTTGTAAAGCAAAGTAAGAAGTGCTGGTAAGACTAATTGTTATCGATTAGTTTACTCCAATTAGGGGTGGGGTGGTAGGGGAAAAGAATAAAGGAAATATATGTAATAAATAAATAAATAAATATAAATATATATATATATATATACACACAAAACAGTATATTGGGATTGGAAATGATGCAGACAATTACAATGATGGAAGCCACAATCTGCAATATTAAAGCTGATCCACCCCCCCAAAAAAAATAAAAAATAATATAGGACTAATTTCCAATGGACAAATTAGTCTTAAAAGCTTCAGTGGAGTTCTGTTTGTGAGAGTGTGACGGTTGCACATGATCATCTCTTAATTTCCATTACAGAATAAGCTGCAGACACTCAGCAACAGCTCTTAGAGTACTAATTCATAATAGCTGGTGACAATTCTGTTGATATCAATCAGTTGATATCTCACATTGTTCAAAAACACTTTCACCAAAATTAGATTTAATCAAAAATAATATTAAGTTCTGTACAGTGCAAATCTACCCATCAGTGTGATGCCTGTGATAATCAATGACTCATCATTCTTGTCCCTACTCACCCTCCTCTGTTTCTGGAAGATCTGATCTAGCTCCCTCTCCTTACTGGACAGCTGATGCTCTAGATCCTGACTCCTAGACAGGAAGCGCTCAGAGTCCTGCAGGAGGGAGAAAGAGAGTGAGGGAGAAAGAGAGTGAGGGAGAAAGAGAGTGAGGGAGAACGAGGAAAGGAGAACGAGAGAGCAAGAGCATCTTTCAGAAAACTGAAGTTACTAACAAGTCTGGTGTATGCAGTGGGAGATCTCTCCTTTACCTGCAGGAGGATCCTGTCCTTCTCATTTTTGATTTGCTGCTCCATTTCTTCATATAAGCGCTGGATCTCATCGTCATGTGTTGCTGCTTTTCTGTTCGGATTTAGAAAATGTTTTTGTTTTGTTAATGCTAATAAAGCATTTTCCACATAATAAAATGGGCCACTCAAGTGTTGTTATCAAATGTTTAAATAAGCTTTCAGTCTAGCATTTCAATCATACAGTAGGTAATTGTAAGCTATTATGACGCATTCCAAACAGGCACAGCAACAAATAGATTTTCAGATGAGTACCAGAAAAAATGTGCACTTATTATCAGTGTACAGTGGGGGAAAAAAATATTTAGTCAGCCACCAATTGTGCAAGTTCTCCCACTTAAAAAGATGAGAGAGGCCTGTAGTTTTCATCATAGGTACACGTCAACTATGACAGACAAAATGAGAAAAAAAATTGCAGAAAATCACATTGTAGGATTTTTAATGAATTTATTTGCAAATTATGGTGGAAAATAAGTATTTGGTCAATAACAAAAGTTTCTCAAAAGTTTCTTACTTTGTTATATACCCTTTGTTGGCAATGACACAGGTCAAATGTTTTCTGTAAGTCTTCACAAGGTTTTCACACACGGTTGCTGGTATTTTGGCCCATTCCTCCATGCAGATCTCCTCTAGAGCAGTGATGTTTTGGGGCTGTCGCTGGGCAACACAGACTTTCAACTCCCTCCAAAGATTTTCTATGGGGTTGAGATCTGGAGACTGGCTAGGCCACTCCAGGACCTTGAAATGCTTCTTACGAAGCCACTCCTTCGTTGCCCGGCCGGTGTGTTTGGGATCATTGTCATGCTGAAAGACCCAGCCACGTTTCATCTTCAATGCCCTTGCTGATGGAAGGAGGTTTTCACTCAAAATCTCACGATACATGGCCCCATTCATTCTTTCCTTTACACGGATCAGTCGTCCTGGTCCCTTTGCAGAAAAACAGCCCCAAAGCATGATGTTTCCACCCCCATGCTTCACAGTAGGTATGGTGTTCTTTGGATGCAACTCACCATTCTTTGTCCTCCAAACACGACGAGATGTGTTTTTACCAAAAAGTTATATTTTGGTTTCATCTGACCATATGACATTCTCCCAATCCTCTTCTGGATCATCCAAATGCACTCCAGAAAACTTCAGACGGGCCTGGACATGTACTGGCTTAAGCAGGGGGACACGTCTGGCACTGCAGGATTTGAGTCCCTGGCGGCGTAGTGTGTTACTGATGGTAGGCTTTGTTACTTTGGTCCCAGCTCTCTGCAGGTCATTCACTAGGTCCCCCCGTGTGGTTCTGGGATTTTTGCTCACCGTTCTTGTGATCATTTTGACCCCACGGGGTGAGATCTTGCGTGGAGCCCCAGTTCGAGGGAGATTATCAGTGGTCTTGTATGTCTTCCATTTCCTAATAATTGCTCCCACAGTTGATTTCTTCAAACCAAGCTGCTTACCTATTGCAGATTCAATCTTCCCAGCCTGGTGCAGGTCTACAATTTTGTTTCTGGTGTCCTTTGACAGCTCTTTGGTCTTGGCCATAGTGGAGTTTGGAGTGTGACTGTGAGGTTGTGGACAGGTGTCTTTTATACTGATAACAAGTTCAAACAGGTGCCATTAATACAGGTAACGAGTGGAGGACAGAGGAGCCTCTTAAAGAAGAAGTTACAGGTCTGTGAGAGCCAGAAATCTTGCTTGTTTGTAGGTGACCAAATACTTATTTTGCAAATAAATTCATTAAAAATCCTACAATGTGATTTTCTGGAGAGAAAAAAATCTCAATTTGTCTGTCATAGTTGACGTGTACCTATGATGAAAATTACAGGCCTCATCTTTTTAAGTGGGAGAACTTGCACAATTGGTGGCTGACTAAATACTTTTTTCCCCCCTGTATAGTGTCATTCACATCTGAAAAATCAAAAGGGATAACTATAATTACTTAACCATTCAAGGCCTAACCACTCCGGTCAGCTTTAATCAAACCCCTGTGTCTCTACAGCTCTGAATACAGCAAGAAAGACATTCACACGTTTTGAAACAGCTGCAAAGTGTGAGCCACTTGTCATAAAACCCAACCATAGCAGCCTCATCCAACATTTGCATTCCTTTCACTCAGAAACGGACTCAAAAACTGGTTGCTCTTCAACTATGTGAAACTGTGTGATAATGCACCACTATGGTACAAAAGCTAAGCGGTGCTCAGTTGAAACATGACATAATAAACCCCGTGTAGCTCAGTTGGTAGAGCATGGCACTTGCAATGCCAGGGTTGTGAGTTCGATTCTCACGGGGGGCCAGTATGAAAATAAATAAATAAATGTATGCACTCACTAACTGTAAGTCGCTCTGGATAAGAGCGTCTGCTAAATGACTAAAATTTTTAAATGTAAACAAGTAGGTAGAGATTGTCAAGTAGTATTCCTTTGCGTAAAATTGCCATGAACATTGTCTGACACAATTTGGAGAAAGTGGGGGTTTAGGGAGCACATTCACAAGCACTTAATATTGCTTTGGAGCTGGAAGGTTAGCCACATCCCAACAGTTGAGTAAATGTGTCTCTTGAAATAAAAGTTTGTTCCACCCACACTGTAAAACTTTAACACTTCTCTCCTCCCAAGGCAGCACTAGCGCTTAATGTGTGGAATTTAGCAGGCTTAACTAAGGACTACAAATCTGTCAGTCAGAAAAAGTTATACTTTTAGTACAAAAAATAATAAAAAGGGAAATAAACACAGAAAAAAACAGATATATAACTGGGGACGATCATTCTACAGATGCCCTAATGCAAAAAAGGTTGAAATGACATTCATATCGTAGCAAGCAGTAGGCTACTTTGCCCTTCGTTACTCAGGCAGAGGTTATCTGTAAAGGAACATTGAGCTAGCCTGGTCCCAGATCTGTTTGTACCGTCTTGCCAGTGACCATAGGAGTTGGCAAGACATCACAAACAGATCTGGTACCAGGCTACAGTGAGCTACTAATTGCACAAATTCTACATGGGTACCAATACCTGATGATATGCGATATTTCTACCTTTTAAGGGCGCTCTCCATCTCCCTCTTCTCCTGGTTGACCTCTTTGATCTGGAAGGTGACCCTGGCCAGAAACTCCTCAAAGTTGGACAGGAGATGCGGCTCATCTCTCCTCAGCTGGGCCCACAGACTACGCACCTCACCAGGGCTGATGGAAAGGGGGTCAGAACAAAGATTAGTCTGAATGACAAGACCTGGAATACGGTCTGTATTCTGTAGTCAGGTTTCTGTGTAGAACAACTGTACTGAGGTACTTCTTGGTGAAAAAATGTGTGTACTTGAAGTTGAATTACACTTGAAGGTCAATGTGAACAATTAGGGCAATGTAGGCAGGCAGTGGGTAGCTGTGGGCTGCTTGCAGCCGTGCTTACATATTTGCGCAAAATTGACATTTGGTCAAGATGATCTTAGCCTAGAAAATCCCATTTCCTGTTAGTAGAAAATAGAGCTATTTTGATACAACAGTTTAAATGCAATCTTTGTCTGTGCCATGGTCTTCACGTCAGTGTTCAGATAATGACTGGAATAATGTATTTATAAAAAAATTTTGGCAGGGCAATATGTGGAAAGACCAATTGAGAAAATTATCTCATACAATGCATGTTTGATGGATCTCTGTTCATTGAAATTAGGACTGATTGATCAGACTAGCAGGCCTCTGGATACTCCTAAACAAATATGGAAACTTTCCAATCCTCACAGTAGAGTTCTATGCCATGTCAACTTCAGGAAAACACACCAGAGGTTGAAGCAAACTGATCTGATCTAAATTGTCAGCATTCCTTTCTGGTTCTAACCCAGGTTTACAGACAGTCAATAGGATGTACTTATCAATTTGACATCCTCACCTACTACCGTTTACTTTTATTGAGCCACACTTGTTTGCTAAAGGTGAGTTTAGTCATGCATTATGCGAGGCCCGGCTTTCTCGTTTCTCTCCTCTGAACGCCTAGAGTTCAGAAGGCCAAAAACATGAATGTCAGTGACTATAATGATTTGTGCAAGGTTAAATAACCCAACTCAATTTAGATTAACTTTTCCTTTGTCTGAGGTTTTTGGGGTAGATGACAGTGACTTCAGGTATTTAATCTGTTTTCTACTTATACATGTCTGTAGACTTTATGCTTGTTTGTTAAGCTTATAGAATTTTCGGAGAAATATCAAAGCAAGCCGATTGAAACAGAATGGTTAGCACTACTGTTGTTTTGCACAGCTGACTTCAATCAATCTAACCATTCTAAAGGAATAGACTGGTTATTGTTGAGGGATGGACAAAGGATTTCCCAGTATGGACGTCATAGACAAAAACAAACACTGACTCCTCAAAGACGTTGCTGGCGCCCAAGCTCTCCATGAGCATGCAGAAGTGCCTCTCCTCCTCATCCTCGCTGCCCGTCAGCCTCTCCTCCCACTGGGTCTGGTACAGGGAGTCTGGGGGGCCCTGGGTGGCTTCCTTGGCAATGGGGTTGGCCTCCCCCATCCCCTCTGTTAAAGGGATCCTCCGGCCAAACAGGAACTCACCTGGAGAAATAAGAGTCCAGGAGATGATTTATAATATCCTTTACTCCCTCTCTATGTACCTGCACCTACTCAGCGCTGCATACTCTGCTTGCACAGTGCACTAGCACGGTTAATGTTATGTGGAAATGGAAGATACATCAAATCAAACTACATCACTTTTTCAAAACAATCACAGCACATCAACATACATTGGACAGTAGAAAGTGAGAAGAGAACATAGTCAACGCACTGAACCCCGAGGAGAACTCCTGCAAGGTGAGGTATCCGTTGCCGTCAGAGTCCAGGGTGTCGAAGACATTCTCCAGCTCCTCTGCACTGAGGGGCAGCTGTCCATGCAGCCTCTGTGGAGCAGGACACACAACACAATCAGGCGCCATTGACACAACTGGGGACCTGAAGGACTCGGAGTCTCTACGTTAACAATCACAGGCGGCCGGCGGGACCTTAATTGGGGAGGACAGGCTCATAGTAATGGCTGGAACAGAATGAATGGAATGGTATCAAACACAAAAAAACACATGGTTTCCATGTGTTTCATGGCATTTCATTCACTAAATTCCAGCCATATTATGAGCTGTCCTCCCTTAGAATCCTACTGTGCCAACAATAGAGTATGGTTCAACAGCTGCCAGCCAAGCACAAACACCTGGCAAAACACTCAACAGTATCATAAGCATCAGAAGAGATGGTCATGTATCCAAGTACAGGACTGCATATGTACTTCATGTTCATAAAGTGTAGGATCGTGTATTATTAGCACTCACACAACCGATGTGATGGATGTAATGTGAGTTCATGATGAAAGAATCGTTAATAACTAGGATAGGCTGTTTCATAAAATGTTTATATTAATAAACTTGTGACATTAATTAATTCAGATTGAACTCAAACATTACAGAAATGAACAATTCTGCCCAAAGTCAACAAAAACATCTAAAAACAGTCAACATTAGCCTTGACAACATAAGCCCAAACCACCATTTACACGCCAAGGCCAAGCAGTGTGAAAGCAAACAGAGACTAAATTACACTCTGAAACCCTGAAAATAAGCAGTAAAGACCACAATGATCCAGAAAAGCCAACCGCTGCCACACCTCTGTGAGCTGGGCATGTCTATGTTTACACTGAAACCACTTGTGAAATTCATAGTAGGAACTCCTTGTAAACTCTGTTATCTGGGCTGAACACATCCCTTATGTCAGCAGACAGAGTTCACAGCCTGAGACACCCCTGGCACTCTCTTGGTCATGGTGTGAAAAACATTGTAAGGCTGTTTGTGCATCAGCAGAAAATGATACATGTGCACATACAGTGGGGGAAAAAAGTATTTAGTCAGCCACCAATTGTGCAAGTTCTCCCACTTAAAAAGATGAGAGAGGCCTGTAATTTTCATCATAGGTACACGTCAACTATGACAGACAAATTGAGATTTTTTTTCTACAGAAAATCACATTGTAGGATTTTTAATGAATTTATTTGCAAATTATGGTGGAAAATAAGTATTTGGTCACCTACAAACAAGCAAGATTTTTGGCTCTCACAGACCTGTAACTTCTTCTTTAAGAGGCTCCTCTGTCCTCCACTCGTTACCTGTATTAATGGCTCCTGTTTGAACTTGTTATCAGTATAAAAGACACCTGTCCACAACCTCAAACAGTCACACTCCAAACTCCACTATGGCCAAGACCAAAGAGCTGTCAAAGGACACCAGAAACAAAATTGTAGACCTGCACCAGGCTGGGAAGACTGAATCTGCAATAGGTAAGCAGCTTGGTTTGAAGAAATCAACGGTGGGAGCAATTATTAGGAAATGGAAGACATACAAGACCACTGATAATCTCCCTCGATCTGTGGCTCCACGCAAGATCTCACCCCGTGGGGTCAAAATGATCACAAGAACGGTGAGCAAAAATCCCAGAACCACACGGGGGGACCTAGTGAATGACCTGCAGAGAGCTGGGACCAAAGTAACAAAGCCTACCATCAGTAACACACTACGCCGCCAGGGACTCAAATCCTGCAGTGCCAGACGTGTCCCCCTGCTTAAGCCAGTACATGTCCAGGCCCGTCTGAAGTTTGCTAGAGTGCATTTGGATGATCCAGAAGAGGATTGGGAGAATGTCATATGGTCAGATGAAACCAAAATAGAACTTTTTGGTAAAAACTCAACTCGTCGTGTTTGGAGGACAAATAATGCTGAGTTGCATCCAAAGAACACCATACCTACTGTGAACCATGGGGGTGGAAACATCATGCTTTGGGGCTGTTTTTCTGCAAAGGGACCAGGACGACTGATCCGTGTAAAGGAAAGAATGAATGGGGCCATGTATCGTGAGATTTTGAGTGAAAACCTCCTTCCGTCAGCAAGGGCATTGAAGATGAAACGTGGCTGGGTCTTTCAGCATGACAATGATCCCAAACACACCGCCCGGGCAACGAAGGAGTGGCTTCGTAAGAAGCATTTCAAGGTCCTGGAGTGGCCTAGCCAGTCTCCAGATCTCAACCCCATAGAAAATCTTTGGAGGGAGTTGAAAGTCCGTGTTGCCCAGCGACAGCCCCAAAACATAACTGCTCTAGAGGAGATCTGCATGGAGGAATGGGCCAAAATACCAGCAACAGTGTGTGAAAACCTTGTGAAGACTTACAGAAAACGTTTGACCTGTGTCATTGCCAACAAAGGGTATATAACAAAGTATTGAGAAACTTTTGTTATTGACCAAATACTTATTTTCCACCATAATTTGCAAATAAATTCATAAAAAATCCTACAATGTGATTTTCTGGATTTTTATTTCTCAATTTGTCTGTCATAGTTGACGTGTACCTATGATGAAAATTACAGGCCTCTCTCATCTTTTTAAGTGGGAGAACTTGCACAATTGGTGGCTGACTAAATACTTTTTTTCCCCACTGTATATGGCAATGCTGGCAGTTGCTAGAATACATCATGAAGTGTAAAAAAATGTACAGTGCCTTTGGAAAGTATTCAGACATTTTGTTACGTTACAGCCTTATTCTAAAATGGATTAAATATTATTTTTTTCTCAACAATCTACACACAATACCCTATAATGACAAACCGAACAGGTTTTTCGATTCTTTTGCAAATGCATTTAAAATACAAAACAGAAATACCATATTTACATAAGTATTCAGACCCCTGTTTCCATTGATTAACCTTGAGATGTTTCTTCAACTTGATTGGAGTCCACCTGTGGTAAATTCAATTGATTGGACATGACTTGGAAAGGCACACACCTGTCTATATAAGGTCCCACAATTGACAGTGCATGTCTGAGCAAAAACCAAGCCATGAGGTCGAAGGAATTGTGCGTAGAGCTCAGAGACAGGATTGTGTCGAGGCACAGATCTGGGGAAGGGTACCAAAACATTTCTGCAGCATTGAAGATCCCCAAAAACACAGTGGCCATCATTCTTAAATGGAAGAAGTTTGCAACACCAAGACTCTTCCTAGAGCTGGACGCCCGGCCATACTGAGCAATCGGGGGAGAAGGGCCTTGGTCAGGGAGGTGACCAAGAACCCGATGGTCACTCTGACAGAGCTCTAGAGTTCCTCTGTGGAGATGGGAGAACCTTCCAGAAGGACAACCATCTCTGCAACACTCTACCAATCAGGCCTTTATGGTAGTGGCCAGACGGAAGCCACTCCTCAGTAAAAGGCACCATAGTGCCCTCAAAGCTCATCACTAAGCTAAGGACCCTGGGACTAAACACCTCCTTCTGCAACTGGATCCTGGACTTTCTGACGGGCCACCCCCAGATGGTAAGGGTAGGTAACAACACATCTGCCACGCTGATCCTCAACACGGGGGCCCTTCAGAGGTGCGTGCTCAGACCCCCTCCTGTACTCCCTGTTCACTCATGACTGCATGGCCAGGCACGACTCCAACACCATCATTAAGTTTGCCGACGACACTACAGTGGTAGGCCTGATCACTGACAACGATGAGACAGCCTATATGGAGGAGGTCAGAGACCTGGCCGTGTGGTGCCAGGATAACAACCTCTCCCTATTTTTTAAACTGCATTGTTGGTTAAGGGCTTGTATGTAAGCATTTCACTGTAAAGTCTACACCGGTTGTGTTCGCCACATGTGGCAAATACAATTTGATTCGTCAGCCCACTTGGAATTGGCCAAAAGGCACCCAAAGACTCTCAGACCATGAGAAACATGGTTGGTCTCTTTGGCCTGAATGCCAAGCGTCACGTCTGGAGGAAACTTGGCACCATTCCTACAGTGAAGCATGGTGGTGGCAGCATCATGCTGTGGGGATGTTTTCAGCAGCAGGGACGGGGACACTAGTCAGGATCGAGGCAAAGGTGAATGGAGCAAAGTACAGATAGATCCTTGATGAAAACCTGCTCCAGAGCACTCAGGACCTCAGACTGGGGTGAAGGTTCACCTTCCAACAGGACAACGACCCTAAGCACACAGCCAGGACAACGCAGGAGTGGCTTGGCTCAATGTCCTTGAGTGGCCCAGCCAGAGCCCGGACTTCAACCCGATCTAACATGTCTGGAGAGACCTGAAAATAGCTGTGCATCAACACTCCCGATCCAACCTGACAGAGCTTGAGAGGATCTGCAGAGAAGAAATGGGAGAAACTCCCCAAATACAGGTGTGCCAAGCGTGTAGCGTCATAAACCAAGAAGACTCGATGCCATAATCGCTGCCAAAGATGCTTCAACAAAGTAAATGGTCTGAATACTTATGTAAATGTGATATTTCCGTTTGTTTTATTTTTATGAATTAGTAAAAATTCTGAAAACCTGTTTTTGCTTTGTCATTATGGGGTATTGTGTGTAGATTGAGGAGGAAAAAAACAATTTTATCAATTTTAGAATAAGGCTGTAACGTAACAAAATGTGGGAAAAGTCAAGGGGTCTGAATACTTTCCGAAGGCACTGTATAATAGGTGTTCATAACTTTGCCAAATAAATTACTTGTGTATCTGCTTTGTCCTTATGGATAAACAAGGTAAGCCTAATCAGACGTAGTAAATAACCGACTATATCAAAAACCATCTTGCTTATGGCAGAGAAATACATTTTCTGTTCTATCTACTCAGGATTTCTAATAATAGACCAGCAGAAATGCATTTCAGTTGCATAACACTTATATTGATAGACTAGGTTAACTTGACTAATTTACACAGACAATTGTAATGAATTATACAGGAGTGCACACGGTTATGCATTGACGTTATTACAAAATAGGCTGATTTCATTACTTTCACAACTCATAATGAACACGGGGAGCGGGTCTAGGGAAATTGTTTTGTATATTTCCATAAACATTGGATCAAAGGGATCTATTCTATTGAGAGACCCTGGTCACGGCGTGGGCTCACAAGTGCTCGATCAAAGGAATATTCTGCCATTGATGAATATGTAAGAGGCGTTTGGATCTGCACAGTAATGCAGATGAAGTTGCTGTATGACAAAGCATGGCTCTGTGTGGCTCTTTGCAGCCCATGTGTGTCGTGGGTTCATGTCACTCTTTTCACATGCTCTCCTGAATTAGAAAGATACAGGCTATGTCCTCAGAATCATCTCTAATGAGCACACCACAGAGATATAAAAGTTATCCATTTAATTCTATGGAGCACACGCAGTCCCTGTCCTCCACATGCAGCCTTGTGAAATGACCAGATTGTTGTCTCCAAATCCAACAAAGGTCTATGGAGGATTTGTTGCAGTTGTTAGGTTTGGCATTATTTCCTCATTATTTAGCCTAATGTATGCTATTGTTAACAGCAGTCATTCAGATGCCCTAACAAAAGCCTAAATTACAACAATAATGAGCTATGGGAGCTGGTGCATAGGTTAGGATACATCCACAGAGTAATCCACAGAGTATCATGTGTTCTCTATCACAGTAGTTCAAAGGAAACAATTATGCTAGCACTAGGCTGGGACAATTATTACTGGTTCCTCAGGGTAAAGAGGCTAACAGGAAATATGTATTATTCTTCTGAATTAAGCATCCAGTCCACAGGGAAAAAAGTCTCAAATGCTACTGAATGCAACTCCAACAAACCCACCACAACTCATGATTGTTTTGATCATTCAGAGCAAGAATCACAGTTCAAAACACAACTATAACAACTTGCACTGTAAATCAATATCAAAAGTCGGCAGTTTAAAATATGTGTTACTCTGACATAATGACATAAAAGTAACATCTAGGCTATACATGACTAGGTAACTAATATATACACAGTACTAAGGATGGGAACATGCATAACTCACATCTGGTGTAGCCTAAACATTTCAATAACTTCTCATGGGACGGTTTGGTCAGACTCAGTGAACCCATATACAGTAGGTGATCTCACCTGCATGTCCCGGTGGGTGATGAAGCCCTTGTCCTCGATGTCACAGATCTGGAAGAAGTCATGGGTCTTCTCCAGCATGGTGCTGTGTCCTGTAGATCTCTCACCGCCTCCAGCCTCCCAGTCCTTCCAGTCACACTCTGCTGGGCTCTGCTCCCAGTCTCTGTGCCGAGGAGCACTCCTGGAACTCACTTTGGGGGTACTGGTGAAAGCTGCCATGGTGTGTGTGTGGTGTGGCTCCTCTCGCTTCCTCTACTCCTTCACATGGGTCAGGTGCACTCAGGTCTAGACAGGGGTTGAGAAAAGAGACCCAGAGTAGAGATTCTGGTTCAGGCTGCAGCACAGAGGCTCTCAGCAGCGATGTCACCGCTTGTCATCTCTTAGCAACCGCCTCTTTAATTAGTCGATGAAGCCCAGGCTCTGAGCGAGAGAGAGAAAGGTAAAATAGATCCCTTCAAATAACCCTCTCTCTGAATGAAGGAGCATGAGACATGTCAGACTATGGTCTTTCTTAACATAGCATTTTATGTTGTTCATTTTGTTTTGATAACATAACCTAGGTCTTATTACAATATAATGACTTGTAGTCTAATAATGCAGCCAACTAAAAAACACAGTACAACAAGCCTAGGAAAGATGCAAAACTCAAAGCTCACAAGGAGAGAGTTAGCCTACTTTGAACACATCAACAAAGAATGGTGCTAAAGAGAAGTGATGATAAACAGTGAAGACAACACTTGGGCTGACTGACTGGGACAAAGAGGAGTGTGCAACTAGATATTAGGCACATCTTAGAGAAACCCATTAAGTAAATTCACAGAGCAGACGGCAGATGTTCCAAGTATGAGCTTAGTTCCCTCCCCTATCAGTGGGAAGTATCATGTTCTCTATCACAGTAGTTCAAAGGAAACAATTATGCTAGCACTAGGCAGGGACAATTCTTACTGGTTCCTCAGGGTAAAGAGGCTAACAGGAAAGAGACATTCTTCTGAATTAAGCATCCAGTCCACAGGGGCAAAAGCCTCAAATGGTATGGAATCCTACAATTCTTACAGCACAGTATCATGCAATGCAATCAACATAGGAGATTGTTGAACACTCAATCCAACAAGGTTGACTGGTGTATCCACAAAAGACTACAGTACTACTGTGCTCTTCGTATGGCACACATTGTGACCAAAGCATGTATGAGTGATGGGATTGATGATCGGTGACAAGTTGAGAGCTGGAGGAGTACTTTGGCCTGTCTGGAAGGGCCGTGCCTCGAAATATTGACTGGTAAAGCCACACGGTGGTTAGGCCTATATGGGCTCCTGTGTGCACTGGTATGGAAGACTGCCTTAAAGGGGCTGTCCCCCTCGCCTGTAAGCTGCAGGCTGAGTCACTGTAGGGCAGGCAGAGAACAGACAGCTCACCAAAAACACATGCACGCCGAGTCAGACATACAGTGGGGGGAAAAAAGTATTTAGTCAGCCACCAATTGTGCAAGTTCTCCCACTTAAAAAGATGAGAGGCGCCTGTAATTTTCATCATATGTACACGTCAACTATGACAGACAAAATGAGGAAAAAAAATCCAGAAAATCACATTGTAGGATTTTTAATGAATTTATTTGCAAATTATGGTGGAAAATAAGTATTTGGTCAATAACAAAAGTTTCTCAATACTTTGTTATATACCCTTTGTTGGCAATGACACAGGTCAAACGTTTTCTGTAAGTCTTCACAAGGTTTTCACACACTGTTGCTGGTATTTTGGCCCATTCCTCCATGCAGATCTCCTCTAGAGCAGTGATGTTTTGGGGCTGTCGCTGGGCAACACGGACTTTCAACTCCCTCCAAAGATTTTCTATGGGGTTGAGATCTGGAGACTGGCTAGGCCACTCCAGGACCTTGAAATGCTTCTTACGAAGCCACTCCTTCATTGCCCGGGCGGTGTGTTTGGGATCATTGTCATGCTGAAAGACCCAGCCACGTTTCATCTTCAATGCCCTTGCTGATGGAAGGAGGTTTTCACTCAAAATCTCATGATACATGGCCCCATTCATTCTTTCCTTTACACGGATCAGTCGTCCTTGTCCCTTTGCAGAAAAACAGCCCCAAAGCATGATGTTTCCACCCCCATGCTTCACAGTAGGTATGGTGTTCTTTGGATGCAACTCATCATTCTTTGTCCTCCAAACACGACGAGTTGAGTTTTTACCAAAAAGTTCTATTTTGGTTTCATCTGACCATATGACATTCTCCCAATCCTCTTCTGGATCATCCAAATGCACTCTAGCAAACTTCAGACGGGCCTGGACATGTACTGGCTTAAGCAGGGGGACACGTCTTGCACTGCAGGATTTGAGTTCCTGGCGGCGTAGTGTGTTACTGATGGTAGGCTTTGTTACTTTGGTCCCAGCTCTCTGCAGGTCATTCACTAGGTCCCCCCATGTGGTTCTGGGATTTTTGCTCACCGTTCTTGTGATCATTTTGACCCCACGGGGTGAGATCTTGCGTGGAGCCCCAGATCGAGGGAGATTATCAGTGGTCTTGTATGTCTTCCATTTCCTAATAATTGCTCCCACAGTTGATTTCTTCAAACCAAGCTGCTTACCTATTGCAGATTCAGTCTTCCCAGCCTGGTGGAGGTCTACAATTATGTTTCTGGTGTCCTTTGACAGCTCTTTGGTCTTGGCCATAGTGGAGTTTGGAGTGTGACTGTTTGAGGTTGTGGACAGGTGTCTTTTATACTGATAACAAGTTCAAACAGGTGCCATTAATACAGGTAACGAGTGGAGGACAGATGAGCCTCTTAAAGAAGAAGTTACAGGTCTGTGAGAGCCAGAAATCTTGCTTGTTTGTAGGTGACCAAATACTTATTTTCCACCATAATTTGCAAATAAATTCATTAAAAATCCTTCAATGTGATTTTCTTGAGAAAAAAATTCTCATTTTGTCTGTCATAGTTGACGTGTACCTATGATGAAAATTACAGGCCTCTCTCATCTTTTTAAGTGGGAGAACTTGCACAATTGGTGGCTGACTAAATACTTTTCTGTCTGTGGCTGGCATACACACGCTCCCTATTCCACCTCATGCTCCATCTAGCCACATTTCTGATGCTCCGCTTTGCCATTTTTGGATGGTTATTTTGTTGACAAAAAATAGCTCACTCCAAAGTCAGAGAAAAGCTTGTAGGATAAACCCTGAAAGCTGAACCAGGAGATCCTGAACACTATTAAATATAATTATTCACTAAAGATCTGAAGTTTGACACTTTTCTTTTGCAGAGGACCAGTAATCCTATCATTTTATCGTGTGACAACACGGCTATCATGAATAGACCTACTCAGTTTATGATCTTGAATGAGAATCTCATCATCCTGAATGTATCTCGACCCAGGGATCAGACAATATTTGACACCGAGGTTGAAGACTGTGATGAGATCTTATATAGTCTTAACAATCCACATGGCATGATGACACGTCGCCAACTCAAACACATAGGCTATTTACAATGCAATGAATGACAAATGGTACACCCACTGTTGAATGCAATAAGAGACTGTGCGTCTTAGCTATGAGTCTATGACCTACAACGTACGCTAATGAGAGAAGTAGAACAGAGTAGCCTATGCCTTGTGCAGTTTCCAGAACAATTGCATTTCAAACAGTCTAAGCTAAATGTTGGAGTAAGCTATTGGCTTGTTTCAATGGCCAACTTAGGAAAATAACCTGCTGTACTACTTTGCATACAGTTAGCTAACTTATCTTCCAAGTTGCTGCATCAAACCAGAAGTAATTCAGGGAGACAACATAAGGCCTACAATGTATGACATTTTTTGACACTTTTTGATTAAGCTAGATTTTAAAAAATATATATAGACTACACTAAATCAAAATAGGGAAGCAACAAATGTGTAAAGCGAGACATTGATTAAAGTTTTTTTTTTTTTTAAACACTGCACTAAGTTCAACAGAAAATTGTGGTTTCCTACAAATAGGCTGCCTATCAAAAAGTGACTCATCTCTGGAGCAGAACTCTTACTAGGCTGTCTCTGAAGCACTCAGACGCTGTGCTATCCGCTACTCTACTTCCTTTGTTTGAACTATGACGAAAAGAGCCACTTGCCGTAAAAAAATACAACTTCTCCTGGGTGTGCTGGTTCACCAGCAGGTCACAGTCATACTGGAGCTTATGACCACAGGTAAAGTTATTGAAGAGTACCTGAATGAACAGTCTGCAACCCCTTTGACCACTTAAGTAGGTTTAGCATAATCAGCAAGTGTTTGGATGTTGGCAAGTGGAGTGCAAGAAAATAGCAAGAGCCAACCTATTCAAGAGAAAAAAAAGTCACAAAGCAAACTTATTAGTAAGAAAATTACTGGATTGCGGAAACAGGATAAATGTGATAACTGAACATTATTCTGCCTCCTACCACCGCAATTCATACATCAGAGTTTGAAAAGTGCAGAATGGGTATATTGCCATTTGCCAATGACTTTTCACTATGACATAAGTAACTAGTTCAATGTGTGGTAACTAAACCACTTCCTGTCTTGATGTGTGACAATCTTAGTTCTTGGGACTGTACAAACAAACCCTGGCCTGCCTATCAGGCCATGTGTCAGTCAGTGGTTTCAGCACATCCTACCTGGTCAGAGGTTTTTCAAATTTACCCAGTCAGACAACTGGCAATTGAAACTCACTTCCTGGTTGAGGCCACTTCTCTGTTTAACCATCATGGATAGTGAAAAATGATAAAATTACAACATAGTGTCGTGCAATTGTCTAACTAACATGCCTGCAATGTAATATTGTGATGCAATGGCAAAGCAGTGTTGCAGGTTATCATAAAAGTAATGACTGGATGAAAAATGAGGTTCTAATCTGCATTTCTAAAGATGTAGGCTAACCTTTTTGGTGAACTTTAGTGATAACCCATTCCTGTAGAAAATCTAATCAACATGTTCTGGCTGGCACAGTGCCCAGCACACCCTATGAGACAGACAGATGCCAAAAGTCATTGAAGATTATGTTGATTTATTTTACATCTAACAGATCATCAAGCCAGAAGCCAGGGGCATACTCATTTGCGTACAGCAAATGAACGAAACGTAGAGGGACCCATCTGAATTTGTCCAATAGAAAATCATTTTAGTAGCAAAAAAATATGTTCGGATTAATTATTAGGCCTACACCCCAGGGCATGTGAAACTTCCAGTTTACAACAC